TTACATGTTTTAAATATTGACATGACAACTATCATGCAATACATCAACGAAAATGAGCACATAGAAAAAGGTATATACAACAAAAATATTTACTTACCGCAAGAACCATTTATTCAGAAATCAGAAGGGTTTAATTGGGAAAATCCTATTTATCTATATATTTCTATATATAGAAAATCTTTGCATTTATATTTATAGAGTCAATCGCTTATTAAATGATATTTTCTACAGATAACATAATTGGAATTGCAAAAATGTCTTATTATTTTTATCAATATTATCATCATCATTATTAGCAGGTAAAATAGAAACTGTAGTTGAGGAAAGCAGAGGGAAACACCATCATTCAAATTATACTTAAATGTTTACAGGGAACAAAAGGGAAATACCAGTTTAAAAAAAGAACTAAGAGGCTTAAAATCCAATACGCGAAACGCGCGTTTCGTCTACATGAAGCTCGTCAGTGGCACTCGAATCAAATATGGTTGGACGGTCATATACTTAATTTACGATAATGAAGGGCATTGACATACTAATGGGCATGCCATCTTGTAATAATATATGTCTAACTGGGGTTGTTGCTTTTCTTAACATGATACAAAATCTAGACCTGTGCCGGTTCAAATCCACATGCTTTGTCGAAAAGGCGTACATTTTCCCCGATGAAGTACAGTATACACCCTATTTTAATACGAGCAGTAGATGGACATTTTAACATTAGATATTAGGTATCCAGATAAATCCCACATATAAATCGCACGTACGTTTCCTTTATCAGGAAAGGATACATTAAATATATAATGCACAACATCAGCATATGTCATTCACAGTATGTAAAAAATGGTAGAAACAATAGAATTATTTACCTATTTGAATATATTTAATCCTATCCATGCATTAGATAATAGGACAGTCTAGGGAAAATCCCTATTTTCTAATGATATAGATAATGTCTAAATTTGAATTTAAAGTCCATCATATTCATAAAAGAGAGGCTATAATTTTCAACAGTAAATAACTTTTTTTAGTATTATCATTATCATCATAACTACAAATGTATTAGATGCCATAAGAACTAACATGGAATCCAATAGAACAGTAGAGAGAAAACATTATATAAGGATCTCATGAAATTAACATTGCATTAAAGGAATGGTGGAGAACTTTAATTTTGAAAGTAAAACATAACCGTTTAACATTGGTTGATAAAAGATATTGCCAGTATCATACACAACATTAGTCATTAGCAAAGCATATTCAACAAGTATAAACAATATGGTATATGCAACAGAAACGATTACCTCCTCGTATATATTTACCAGTATTCGTGTATTACAACGATTTGGGATATGTAGGGAAATTCCCATTATTTCCTAATATTTTTTTTTAATCAAACAGCAATTATACCTTTAAAATGAAATAAAAAATATTATTGTTACATGTATTATTATTATTATTATTACTATTATTATTGTTATTATTGATTTATCAGCTTCAATAGAAACTAATATAGAGGTGGAACGGAAAGGGAAATACCCTTTTACATTTTATACGTCAAATGTTCACCAAAGGGAACATAAGGGAAATACCAGGGTTTCAGGCTTATAATCTAGTTCGACAGCCGCCTATTTCGTCCAGTAAAGACTCGTCAGTGGTGCTAGATTCAATCAGTTGAAACGTCAAATCACTTAGGGAAATACTGATTTAGTTGGTTCTCTTTGAAAGTGGTTCAAACTCTAAATTATTGCGTTTTCGTTCCCCAAGCTACCTTGTTTTCCCCTTAACAGAATTGGAAAGAAATTCCTACGAGTGCAGGATATATCTGGGTACGTGATAATTGATCATATAATATATTCTAAAATGAAATAAGAATATGTTTCTTTTCACTGTTCGGCAACCAGTAATATGCGTACAAAAGAAGCAAGGTTGGGGTCGTTAATATAGAACAAGAAAGAAATACTGTTTTCTTAACTTGTTTTATAGTTTTGACTAGACAACTGCAATGCTTAACTTCAACAAAGATGTTCACCTAGTATGTAGACTTTACATGATATAAACAATAAAACAATTTACCTAGTCGTATATCCTAATTCATGTACTATCCAATATGCATAGTAGGCGATTCGGGACTGTTAAGGGGAAATCCCGCTTGTTTCTAATGACTAATACAAAATCTGGAGACCTGGTTGGTATGCGTGTGTATGTCGCAGCGCCAACTGCCAAGTTGAATAAATCAATTTGACTGTGTCCTGAAGCTGGAATGCATAGTGTATTTGGTATTGGTATCCTCAATCACTTTTCATATGATATATATTTATGAAATAAAATAAATTTGTCCAACATTAAGATTGCTGTCAATATTGTTACATCGATAATAAGGTGCTAGACTCGAAACAAAGTTGAACTTTCAAGATTTAAAGCATATCAGTTCTTTCTAGAATTATAGAATGTTCTTTATATAATCCGTATACTAGTATATAAAGATAGACTTAAGGATGTAGTCAGTTCAGGTTTAGGAAATTGTTGTCAGATATTCGGACTCCTTGTTTTTTTCCCTACGATACAGGGCAAAATACTTTGCTCCATATCACCCACTTTTCTTTTCATAAAAGACTTCAATAGCTCATAAAAGTACATTACCAAAATTAAAGCTGATTCTAGATTTCTTTCTTACGATTTAAGACACAAATAATGCCGATGCTAGACATGTAAAAGTCCAAGTCAGCTTATTCCCGCAATTAAAAAAAAATAATTAACTCGAAAATAAGTTCCATAACCCATCAATATTTTAAGCGTATTTTGTTCCTTAACTAATGCTCTTCTTATTTATAGTATCAATTTTTAATTCTAGATTTTTTTTTAATTTCAACCGACTGCATCCTTAATAATATGATTCATTCCAGTTTTAAACCAAAGGGACATTCAAACTCATAAGTCGAGAATAAACTGACAATGCCATGGCTAAAAAAGGAAAAGACAAACAGACAAACAGACAAACAACAGTACACAAAACACAACATAGAAAACTAAAAACTGAGCAACACGAACCCACCAAAAGCCGGGGTGATTTCATTTAAAATACGTTCCAGTTGCTAAATGGCTTTGCATGGATACTAGATATTTCGGCTTCTGTAACGGATGACCAAAACGATTGCACAATAAACATTACTTATTTCTATACAGACTTTAAAAAGAGTTGTTTTATCAGTAGACCCTCTTTATATTTTTGTCCAGTTCTTGTCATCGCCATTCCATATTGGTGTTTCCTTTGCAATTTGCTTGGTAGATTGTTTAAAAGATACTTAAGATATGGTAATCCATAGATTTCTGAAGTTTTTGATATAATAGAAACTTCAATGGCTGTCATCATTTATAGAGATCTGACATTGGTTAAGTCGTTGTACATTTCCATTGTAAGTGTGTAGTTAACTATTTAGGAAATTCAGTTGGTGTGTATGTAACTCTGCCTGTATCAGAAGCGCTCCTAAATATTACAGGACTACTGCACATAGAGCTATTCGAAGTGACATTGGAAACTATTTTAGAAAATTCGGAACTCTTTAGACGATCCACGTCCATCTGCTTTAAATGCAACATTTCAAACTAAATATTAGCTAAGTATAACATAGCTCTGATCAGTGGTGTATAAAGTGATGATAAAAGTGATAGGATATGTTCAAATGGAGTATACATCTCCAATTTGGTCAGAGAAGGTGTGTTTTTATTTTCAGAATTTCTTTCGAACCTTTGCTGCTTAGTAAACCTCGTGTTTTTTCTTATGCCATCGTTGACCGTTATGAGATATCTGTATTCGAGATGACCATGGATATGTTTAATTTTTAATATACAAAATACCCCAATACAACTTTCCCCTACTAGTTTTTTTACTTACTTGTCAATAGCAAAGCGAACGGTGCCACTATTGAGGAACAAGGAATACTTACACCTTAAGGAGTACCAATAAACAGGGCTTAGTACTGCTAGATTTTACCTTTTTATGTTCTGTTTTTTTTTACCGTTGATCGTATTTGTTTATTTTTGTTCATCATATGGTCTTTCTGCGACTGAAGGTTTTGAAAAGTTTAAAGCTTTTATGGTATCTTATCATCCTTTTTGTGGACCAATTTAATCGGCTCATAATAGTTTAATAGGCAAATGTGAAGAAAGAACAACAAATGCAAGAGATTTAGTAAAAAAAAACATTTCTAGAATTCCCTTTTATTTATGAAAAGTTCGGCGTAATTTGAGTCCGTTATTGCGTTGTGCACTGGTCATTCATACCCCTGAACGGCAATATAATTAAATAACTTTGTGTATTATCGTTCGAAGCGTTTTTCTGGATTTGCATCTGTAAAGCTCAAAACAAAATATTTAAAGACGGTGAAGAAATATTAAAAATTTCAACATGTATGTGACCAAAAAAGGACCTAAAAAGAATAGAACAAATAAATCATATTCAAAAGTACGCCATCAGATCCAATATACCAAAGGAATGGCTAATGTTCCAGATATAGATACCATTTTCGCTTAAACCTTATAACAAACTTTTTAAGGATTTGTTTACGATTGAGAAAACATAATATTTATAAATAGAAAAGATAATACACATGACTTAATTCCCAATACATACCTACTCCAGAGGGCTGAATTCTGAAATTTTATTCTCAGTCACATTAAGCCAATATATAAGAACAACAATTACCAAAACCTTGTTTCTTATATGAAATTCAGATGAGGTATAGACGGCTTATAACTATCTGTTCGATTTTGTACCACTTGCGCGCATTTTTGAAAGTTTTTATGCGTATAAATATAATTTTTAACGATGTTCGGTGTATATGAAGGTAAAGTTTATGAATGGAATAAGGAAAAGGTTTCGGATGGTGGCGACGGGATGGTGTTAGATAACAGCGTGTTCGTCTTTCAATCTAGTAACTAATGTGTCTGTTTGAGATTAAGGCATTGAATCAAAGACAGTTCAAAATTGTTTAAACTCCATCTGAACTGGGTATCTCTTTTATTTGCAGATATCATTTAGTACATAATCGTTAAAATGTAGCCATAGTCGTTCCACACTCAGTTGTGAGGTGATCGCGCATCACTATGGCCTTAGTGAAACAAAAGTGGGATACAGAAATTGGTAGTGTTTCTTGCATTGGTATAACAATTTCGGATTTTAAATCATAAAGCATCATGTCCTTTCGTGTACTGAACGACACCTCCCCGCCGCAAATCAAGATTTTGTCCTCAAAACAGCACGCTCCAAATCCTTTCCTATCAAACTTGGTTATCTTTGATATTGGTCGTGTGCTATCTTTTTCGGAACATTTCAAAACTGTTCCATCCTTACAAATAACTATCATCTGCTCTTTGTAGTTGACCGCTTTGGAATTTAGTCGTGCAAAATCTGGTAACTTATACGAAACTCTGTAGCTTTGCTCTGATTCACAGTTAAAACATTGAATTGTATTGGAAAGTGTGTTATCGGACAGTAAACCGCCAAATAAATATACTTTTTTTCCTACACAAGTGTGAGCTGGTGATCTTACAGGTTCATACAATTTAGTTTTACTGCATATCCATGTATTAGTGGGAGTATTAAATCTCAAAACACTATTCGTGCATCTCTGATCGTCCTTGCCACCAAATACGTAGACATTATCGAAGGCATACATCGCGTGATACTGTCTTTCCACAGGTAAATGTGGGAGCTGAATCCATTCATTCTCTTGGCCATCGAATTTTAAAAAGACAGTTTTCCCGCCAGTTCCTTTATACGGTCCTGGACCGGAACCACCAGATACATAAATGTCTAGGCCGTTAGAACATATGGCAAAATTATAACCAGGGTCAAATGGCAATGGCTTTAAAGAAAACCAAATTTTTTGTGGAAAACTAAACCCCATGACACTGCAGTTATTTCCACCTTCACTGCCTCCAATAACGACTAATACGTCGTCTGCTGGTGTAGCAAAAACACCATCATCTTGCATATTAGAATTGTGACGCGATGTCAAGTCTTCTAACATTCGCAATATATCATGATTTGTAGAAAATTCTTCAATCTTGACAGCCTCTTCGTATATGTCTTTCGCAGACACTCTATTTTGCATCATCGCCTCGCATAGTTCTGGGAAACGTTGAATACGGTTTTCTAAATCCGCAACTATCCAGGAAAACGACACTTGACAAAATAAACCACTTCTATCAACAACATTTATATTATCAGATTCCAAAATAGATATAAGACTATCAACTGTACCTATTTCGTCAAGTTTGGCTTCACTGTTTGCAATTTCGGCAAAATGTTTAAGAATTAAAGATCGTGCTATCTCGGCAAGATCTGCAGTGTAGCCATGATTCTGTGCAATCTGCCAAACATGTACACAGTTTGACTTATCAGCATTTACACTTAGAAACTGCTTGCATATCGTATGGAGAGAATTTATTTGCATCATGTGGGCCACGTGGAGTAGAATGTCAGCGTTGACCATAGTAACCACACTAGGTTCACCGGTATAAATAAACTTTAACAAATCTGAGCAACTGTCTTCATCTAATAGCATATCATCCAGGCAAACGCAACCAGTTTCTGTTTCCTAAAATAATGAATTGCAAAGTTTAATTTGTCATAAAACAGGCATTTAATTTATTAAAAATCAAAGTACCTGATAGTACAAACATACCATTGATTTATAAACGATCAAAATACCTGATAATACAAACACACTATTGATTTATTAACATTCAAAGTACCTGATAGCACAAACATACCATTGACTTATTAACAAACAAAGTACCGAAGAGCACAAACATACTATTGATTTATTAAGTACCAAAATATCTGAAAGGACAAACATGCTATTGATTTATAAGTGCCTGATAGCACAAACTATACCATTGATTTATAAACAACCAAAGTGTCCGATAGCACAAACTATACCATTGATTTATAAACAACCAAAGTGTCCGATAGCACAAACTATACCATTGATTTATAAACAACCAAAGTGTCCGATAGCACAAACTATACCATTGATTTATAAACAACCAAAGTGTCCGATAGCACAAACTATACCATTGATTTATTAACAACCAAAGTACCCGATAGCACAAACTATACCATTGATTTATTAACAACCAAAGTGCCCGATAGCACAAACTATTCTATTGATTTATTAACAACCAAAGTACCCGATAGCACAATCCTATTGATTTATTAACAACCAAAGTACCCGATAGCACAAACTATACCATTGATTTATAAACGATCCAAGTACCCGATAGGACCAATCATACCATTGATTTATAAACGGTCTAATTACCTGATAGGACCAATCATACCATTGATTTATAAACGATCCAAGTACCTGATAGGACCAATCATACCATTGATTTATAAACGGTCTAAGTACCTGATAGGACCAATGATACCATTGATTTATAAACGGTGTAAGTACCTGATAGGACCACTCATACCATTGATTTATAAACGGTGTAAGTACCTGATAGGACCAATGATACCATTGATTTATAAACGGTTTAAGTACCTGATAGGACCAATCATACCATTGATTTATAAACGGTCTAAGTACCTGATAGGACCAATCATACCATTGATTTATAAACGGTCTAAGTACCTGATAGGACCAATCATACCATTGATTTATAAACGGTCTAAGTACCTGGTAGGACCAATCATACCATTGATTTATAAACGGTCTAAGTACCTGATAGGACCAATCATACCATTGATTTATAAACGGTCTAAGTACCTGATAGGACCAATGATACCATTGATTTATAAACGGTCTAAGTACCTGATAAGACCAATGATACCATTGATTTATAAACGGTCTAAGTACCTGATAGGACCAATAATACCATCGATTTATAAACGATCTAAGTACCTGATAGGACCAATGATACCATTGATTTATAAACGGTCTAAGTACTCAATAGCGCAAACATTCCATTGATTTAGTTATAATATTTAAGGAATCTGATAGCATGAACTGATGTAATGGATATAAAGAAATGTGTGGTGTTTCGGTTTAAATGTTTTGCAGCTGTAAGTTGTGGCACTCATTTACAGAACACTGATTCATTTTGTATGTGGTTCGACAGATGGATAAAATACTTGGTAAACGACTATACAAAATTAATAATATGTCATGATATTCTTCAGCGTATTATGAAAAATACCGATAATCATGTTCTGAAGTTACTCCCTTTTTTAATTAGGTCGGACTTTGTTTAGTCACAATGGAGATTAACAGACGTGAACGCAACTTATCGAACGGAAAAAAAATAATTTATAAATTTTGGCGGCCAGTAACATTACACATTTTTTTCATTCGTGAAAGGTAAAACAATGAAATAGTAATGTGTTGGTAACCGATAACTTTTATAACAAAATGTCAAATAAAAGAGACCATTACGTATGCAGCAGTACTTCCCTTGAAACATTAGATATTAAACAGCCCTCCATTAGCTATGGTAGTGGAGCACTCCTTAATGTCAGTTTGTAGAATGGTGTCTAACCGTGCAAAGGGTCACAGATTCGAACCTGTGCTGGTTCAAAGATAATTGTTGAAGGACAATTGATCGTGCTCTAATTTTCCATTTGTTGCTCCAACTAAAAAACCTACGGTGAATCAAAGAGATTAGTAATTGAGTTTATTTAGCATCAATCATAAGAAAATAAAATCTCAGTTTGCAGTTTACTATGGTACCGTGCTTTGCCCTCCGTAAAATATTCGATTTTCAGGATTGTCAAACTTTCAAATAACGGCCGGGTACCAATCTAGGGTGGTCAAGGGTTCGGACCTTGGTCGATTCGGATTCCTAATGATGTGTCCAGATAGGCTGACATGTCTTCCTGCGAACTATTACTATTTGAATTAGCACCTGCTCAGCGTGTCGGTTTAATACAAAGCAGGGTTCATATTCATCATGTTCATATTACATATCAACATGCATTATCTGGTACAGATATGCTTGTTATATTTGCAACTGGACGTTAAACACTAATCCATCCAATAAACAGCCGTGACCTGGGAAACAATAAAAAAATAGTACCCCTGCATAAGAAATACACTATCTCATATTCCCCAAGCATCTTTTTATTTGCTTTGGTTAATTATTTTTTTTTGTAGTTCGGTTCTGGCTTGAAAATGCAAATATTGTTTTGTTGAAATTTGCTGTTATAAAATTTTGGAAATCATTTGAAATTAAGGAATAATTATGCATTGTTCTTATTCCTTGTGCGGTTTGGCTTTTACTTTTAATCAGCTCTTCAAATAAAGGCAACAGTAGTATACCGCTGTTCAAAAGTCATAAATCGATTGAGAGAAAACAAATCCGGGTTACAAACTAAAACCGAGAGAATCACATCAACTATAAGAGGAAAACAAAGGAACAACAGAAACACTGAAGTGCAACAAAAACAAACGCCAACATACATAGAAACGAACTATTTGATAACAACTGCCATATTCCTGACTTAGTACAGGACCCAAAATCAGACTCTTCGCAGATGACAGTATAATCTACCGACAAATTAAATCTCAAAACGACTGCCTCAAGCTTCAAGAAGACCTTGAAGCTGCAATACAATGGGAACAAGATTGGCTTATGTCTTTCCATCCAGACAAGTGTAACATCATGAACATAACGACAAAGAGAAATCCCATCCACTTTTATTACAACATGTATGGACACATTTTAGAATCAGTAAAACATGCTAACTACTTAGGTATCACCATCTCAGCAGACCTAAAATGGAACACCCACATCCAACAAACCGCCGCTAAAGCAAATAAATCCTTATGTTTCATCAGAAGAAACCTTAAAGTCCAATCGCAAAAACTTAAAGAAAGAGCGTACCAAACACTTATAAGACCAAAGTGAGAATACTGTTGTACTGTATGGGACCCATTTACAAACGAAAATATAAAATCACTAGAAAAAGTAAAGAGACGGGCGGCAAGGTATGTGTGCAACAGACATCACAACACTAGCAGTGTGTCTGAGATGCTAGACACCATGAAATGGCAAACATTACAAGAACGCCGACTACGAACAAGGCTTATAATGTTCCACAAAATTGTAAATGAAAATATAGCCATTCCATCGCATAATGTATTACAACAGAGTCAGTCTACTACAAGATCCACCAATAAAGAATCTTACAGACAAATTCAATGCAATAAAGACAGCTATACATTTTCTTTTTTCTGTCAAACCATCAAAGACTGGAACAAATTATCCTCTGAAATTACTAAAAACACTACTACAGAAAATTTCAAGGGTGCACTCACTCACGATGTGCTCCTTAATGAATGACCAAAAACAACATTAAACAAGAAATATTTTGTTAATCTATGTTTTGACAAAAAATTCTTCATATCAATTTATTTGGAAACATTTACCAGGCATGCACCGGAAAGTAAACATCAGTACATTGATGGTTTTCTGTAACGAAAAATATCGCTAAAATGACAACACTACCTGACAGAAATACAGTACAACCACACACAAGTACACTCATCACAGAGAAACGCACAAATAAATAATATAATAGTCGATACAACATGTAAACCGCAGAATAACAACGAACATCTTCCATTAACGACAGACAGCACAGGACATCACAAATATGTAACGAATATATAATCTTGAAATTCATACAATTATTTTCACAATACTAGTCCAAACAATTATCATGATAATGATGGTATTATCATGATCAAGGCTATTTTATAATTATTTGGACTACAAACGATAAGACATAACACATTATCCAACGGAAACCACAACAGAAACATCATAAATAAATACATGAATGTTGGAGGTATAAAATACCGAGACACTTCGTATAGCGATGCAAATTCACACTCGGCATAAAAGTCATATTCGGGAATAAGTCACGTTCGGTACTTAGCAGACAGACAACAGAAAAGTTAAACCACAATCTAAGACGTGGTAAAAATGTCATTAGTTAGTTTAGACACAGACACATCGTTTAGATCAACCAATTCGTGATGGTGTCCATAAAATTTACGGAGTGTCATTTTTAATCTTTCCTCCTCATAACTCTGTTAGAGCAGTTTCTGCATAAAGAGTAAACTCCTGTATATGAAGTCCGTATAGTGTGAACATGCACGAGCATAACGTATCAATTGAGATATGTAAACACCATACGACGGAGCAGAGGGTATGTTACTGCTGAGAAATAGGAAATTGATAATTGGGAAGTTGAAATCATCTCGTTTGTCATAGATTTTAGTGTGAAGTCGTCCATCTGTGTCAATATTGAGGAAAAGATCAAAGTATGAAGCAGTCCTTTTTGTATCAGTAGTATCCTTAATTTCAAGTTCACTGGGATATATGAGATGCAAGTACTGACTGAAATATGGGTTATTCAGTGGTAGGACATCATCAATATATCTGAAAGTAAAGTTAAAGAATTTTGCAAGGTGCTTTTTCTTTTTGTCTTTTAGAAGGTTCTGAATGAATTCTGCTTCATACGAGTACAAAAACAAGTTGGCCAGAAGGGGCGCACAATTAGTACCCATTGGAATACCGACTGTCTGTTGAAATATCAATCCTCCAAACTCAAAGTATATATTGTCGATTAAAAAGTCCAGCATTTTGATAATATCATCGTCAGTGTATTTTCTGATAGAATCAGTGTGGTTCTTCACAAAATAAGAGTTATTATAACCCAAAATAAGAAATTTATATCTACGATTCCCATTTTTATGGAAAAAAGCTTTGTTTAATGAGATGGTTAAGTCGATCTTTCAATTGAGCATGGGGAATAGTAGTGTAAAGCGTAGAAAAATCAAAGGTCTTAATGTTGCTGTAAAATTGCAAAGATTGTGTCAGATCTAAGATTTAGCAGTAGATCTTTAGAATTTTTAAGAATCCACATCTGATTGACACCACTGGTAGAATATATCTCATCACGATATTTTTGAAGGCCATCTTTTACTGTAGAAAGAATAGTAGTCAACACTTTAGAAAGATGTTTAGTCGAACATCTTGATGATCCCGCTATGTATCGTTCTTTTTATGGAGTTTTGTGAAGTTTTGGTATCCAGTATAATGACGGTAGATTTTCTTTGTTTTCTTTGATGTTAATACCAAATGAAAGAAGGACAAATTTGTGATTTTGTAAAATTTCATCCTTTGTAAACGATGTTAAAGAATACGTAGAATATGTAGGATTACCAGTTGTGCTGTTTATTCCAAGCTCTTTTGTGAGACATTGCAAATAATGGTTTTTACATACAAAGACCATATTATCGGAGGCTTTATCTGCTGGAACAACGATGTATTTGTCTTGCAAAGAGGATAAAGCATCCACAACCTCCGGGCTCTTGAATGGGTTAGAAACCCTTGTGCTCATAGTACATCGTAGTTTCTGAATTCGCTTCTGAATGCATGATCGAATAGCTTTGATCCATTCAGACAAAGTGTCCAGTTCTGGTTCGTCTGGTTCGCGCTTTACCCATTTTCTAGCATAGTCCTCAACTGCATCCATCAGTAACCTGAAGTTCTTTTTCCAGTTGATGGCCTGGGGAATTCTATATTTTGGTCCCTTGACTAACAACTCTCTTAGTTGTTCATTGGTAACGATGCCAAGGTCGCCAGTAATAACATGACCAGCTGGACTATAATTGTATTTTGACGATGTACATGAGCAATCCGGAGGTTTGGATTTCACATCTTTGAGGTTAAAGGCCTCTAAAACCCTCTTGTGGTTGAAAATCTTGGATGCAATAGACCTGGTGTAAGTTTATGAAATTATCGTTTGTTTTAGGTTTTGATTTTTTAAATATGTTGGACTCGAGCATCACTGAAGAGACATTAATTGTCGAAATGCGCCTCTAGTGCAGTAAAATTGGTACGATGTTTTTTATATTACCGGGGTTTTTACAATGAAGTTTCTTTATAGGTCTATAATTCATCCTCCTATGACGTTCTTCTTTCGCTTTGTAAACAAAGCCATTTTCTAATCCAATAGAGTATGGGGTGCACATGATTCACGCTGGGAATAGTATACATCAATAAAGTATATAAGTTGATAAGTAATTTCTGTTGCGCAGCTGCAATAGGTACATCATGTTTCATCACGTATTCGTCAAGTGAATAGCAAATGCAGGCGAAAAGGAAATACCATTAACAGAGTGTGTATGACCATTGTTTATAACTATGAAATACGAAATTCACGGATACAATGTCAACAAAAATTTGCAGGCTGCTGAAAAACACGCCCAAAATGTGTCGCACAGCTCTTTGTTAGAATCATGATTCTCTTCCAGAAATAACCCTTATTATAACAAATCCAATTCCGGGAATAGACCTGCGTCGCTGCACGTAACTGATCAAGGTAACATGTATACTGAAGCATAACTGATCATTCCCTAACATTAAGTCGAGAAAACATTGACGAAAATTTTCATTGTACAATTTCTGTAAAATTTTGACTTATATATCGGCAAACAACATGAAGTGGCTGCACGATGGATGTAAAAATTGCTAACCTGCTACAACATTACGAAGCTGCAACCAAATATAAACTCATTCCCATTCATAGAAGCAAAGACAAGTTTGACGACAGTCTTCTACTAAAGGTCTTTCGGACGGACAGACATACTTACAGAGTCGAGCGATTACTAAACTTTCTTTCGCCGTTGGCGACGCAGGTGAAAATTAAACTATCATTGAAATCTTATCAAGATATATTATTTTATTCTCATTATCCTTACCATTAATCCACTATCAAACATGACTTCAAAGAACTCCGACAGGGAGGCTAAGATGACTCTATGGCACTTGAATTCTCTGCCATTTACAGATATTGTAAAATCGGCATATTTATCATCAATCTTAAGATTCCATAAACCTTTAGCTAAATCTGTACTATATGTTGACATGCTGGAAAAAATAACATACTTTACAAATAGTTTTTACAGACTCAAGTTGATGAAAATACACATGAGTGATATTAAATTTTTGATCTTTCAACAAGTTCCACTATTAAACCTTGTAATTATCATATATATATATTGGACGGGCCTAGGGAAAAACCAGCTGTATGTACGAACTATATAACTAAGGTGATTTGGTTGTCCTAGAAAGCTTCGAATGTCAGATTAATCGCCAAATCGGATTCAGAAACTTTTAAAATCGGGAGAGCATGGTTTATATATGATGAAATGTGGTTCAATTTCCACTTTTGTCTAGTTTTACTTGACTCTTTGTTCTTTTAAGCATATTTGGACAAAACAGTTGTCTGATCCCCCTCCCCATTCCCTTGTTCTTGATACACATTTATATTTCTCACATACTTTGTACAGTGTATGGTCCCCTCAGCCTGATTACTCAATATCATGAATTAATTCAGTGATCAATGACGAGATTAGTTTTTAAAATTGTTTTTGTTTTATATGAAATACATTGAAGAAACTGCTAGACTAAAGTAACTAAGTTGCCCTAGTGAAATGTAGATTTGGATTATTGTAAACTTTATATGCACCTAAAACACAAGAGAGATAGAAGGAGAGATAGATTTAAAAACTAAGGGAACATTGAAGATATTCTTATAACAAGCAAGAAAAAAGTATCTTTATCTGACACGTTCTACATACTCGGGATTTGGGGTTGGGGTCGGGGCATTTCGATCTTTTTGTGGTAGGGGTGAGAAGCTGAGACATCCAGTTCCCAACCCTCTTAATGTATTTTGAGTAACAAAAATACAAACCCTATCATATGTTTTTTGCAAAAGCTATACCTATAGCTATCATAGTAAGTTACGCTATTTCATAGACAAATATCTGAAGATTTACAACAGTGGTTTTATAATTGCATCTATGAAAAAAATCGACAGTTTCAGACACTTGAGATTTAATCATCAACCTTATGATATATGTTCTAATGAATTGTGAGGAATATAATAATGAATGAGCATTTTTATCCCTCTCCTGTCTTTATAATAAATCAAACAATTTAAATAAATTTAATGTAAATAAAGAAATTAAACTAACAACATGAACAAAAAACCCTGGAAAAATAGTAAAAATGTAAAAGAAACTTTGGGTATATCAGTAAATTATGTAAATAAGATCTTGGTCATGGGGAACTAAAAATTTGTTTCGATTTACATTACATTGGGTGCTGAACCTAACGAGTAGTTAAGAAATAGATTTTCACGAGTCACATTTTTTTCAACTGAAAGTGAAAGTAGAATTTCAAAACGAAAGTATGACATTGTAAATAATTTTATCGTTAGACACCTATGCGAAATGTCGTTTAAAAATGATAATTAAAAGATCATTGAAATAGTATCAATGTTCAGAACAAACCAATTATAAAATGAAAAACACTGAAAGATATATACGTTTTACCTTTTTGAGTGCTTGTTGATTATTTTATGAGATTATTTCCCTTTGACGGGCTTTGTGTACATGAAGGAATGGGGTGCACACAGGCTTTCGAGGAATGAACGTCTTTCTATTTCTGATTTACAAAAATATTTAAAATCAAAATTTACTATAATTCGCTATTAATTTTCATTAAAATTAATTTACACGACCCAGCACCTTATATCATTTCAATTGTAATATTCAATCTAAAATGCTAAAAAATGATTTATACATTGAATTTCCTTTTGGCACCTCATTAATTTTCTTAAGATCGGAAGTAATACCAGCCAATCACGACAACCAACACGTAGATCAGAGGTCACATCCTGTCTGCTCACGTTTGACAAGCCGGTTCAGTTACAACACAAATATTTAAAGAAAATGGGGAAAATCAAAGGTAAAAAATCTAAATTTCTGTGCAATAGAAGTGGAAATGTGAATATTTTTAGTATGAATCATGGCTCATCTTCTGCATTTTTATTTTTATTTTACAGGCGGTCCAGTGGTCGAAATGAACGGTGATGAGATGACGCGGTGAGTATCAGCTGACTTAACAGAAACACAATCGGTTAAAGGTTTAAAATATAGGACACTTTTTAATATGAAAATTTCAATTAGGATTCTGGCCGTATCCCTGTGCCCTGACTGATAGAAAATCGTGAAAGAAACATATTTTTGAAAGGTAGTCTTTATTATGTAACAGCACTGCCACAGGAATCGGAAATTCTATCAATAATAAGGTATTCAATGGTATAGCCTATAGGGGCTTATATAGTTGCCCAACAATCTTTGAGATGCCCCTATACCTTATTATTGATAGAATTTCCTATTCCTGTGGTAACCAGAGGGGTACAGTGTTGACACCTCCCTGAATGTGTAGTGGCTAGGGCTCTCGGTCATAAAACTTTACCAGGGCTGCCAAGTCTCACGCATTTTCATGCTTATTTGGCAGCATTTTCCTTTGATCTTTACGATTTTGGCCAAATCTCACGCATTTGCATTATTAAAAGTTGGCAGAACTGCTTTACTCAGTACTCGGGAGTACAAAATTTGTGCTTGAAACACCAAATCTAGGATTTTGATTGTTGATTTCTGAGTCTAAGTATGAAAATCCTGCTGGTAATTTTTATGACTGTAGGGCCAGTACTTTGTCCCTATTTGATCATCGGGATACCTAATATCAGATTTTGGCTATTTCAGAAATATGTGCCCCCTATGGAAATTGCTGAAATTTCCTGGTACATTTGAAAATTAATGGGTAAAAAACTTATAAAAAATAACCTGACTCAAGGACAGGGATTTGTATAGTGAGACTATATATAGAACGGTTAGAACCTTCTCCTTTGACCTTTTTTTAAGGTAAAGTATGGTAAATGCTGGACACTTTTATTAATAATGTAGTGGAAGATTTGTCGCCATCATTCATGTGTCATTTGGGAATTTGAAGGTTACAGTTTGAAAATTAAACTAAAAGTTCAGTTCAGTGAAATTTCATGAGTGATTTGAATCATAAAAAAAATAATCTTTAATGTTATGACTTATAATTGCTTAATTTTTTTGTATTTTTTTTTTTGTCTCAAATTTGTAGCATCATCTGGGACTTGATTAAAGAGAAATTGATTTTACCATTTATTGACCTAGAACTACATGAATATGACCTTAGTATACAGAACAGAGATGCAACTGATGATCAAGGTACATAATATATGCATTCTTCTCTCAAGTGGTTGTTGCATTTAATCATTAGTACACAGTTCTATCAAAAGCTACTCATGCAACTCATCAATATTTCTGTTTGAAGACTATAGATATCAGTTTAATATAGCCTTAGGCAAAAATATATTATGAGTGGTTGGTTTGATACTGCATTTACTACGTATTGTTATTTCAGGGGATTGTATTAAATATTTCATCTGAAGACATGTACAGCTGTTTGAGTCTTGTCACTTAATACAAACAAGAAACTTTTGTTTCTCAATAACATTATAACAGCAATATATGATAACCATCTTTGTTTGTCTCAATACTATTTGCCTTCCTAGTCATTATTTTTGGTCTATGTTTCTATGTCCCACAAATTATATTTTTTGTTTTGTTTATAGCATGATTGAGTTTTGAAGACTATTTATATATCTTTATTTTCACATTTTCGTACCTATTTTTGATGTTACTTTTATTTAATTGCATCACTGCTGCAAAATTTAAGACATTGTACATGTTGTGTGGCATGCATATACATTTCTCTAAAAAGTTATGATTGTTTTTTTTTTACAGTCACCATTGATGCTGCTCATGCTATACAGAAATACAATGTTGGAATTAAGTGTGCAACTATTACACCTGATGAGAAAAGAGTTGAGGGTAAGGAATTGATTAATACTATGAATTACAAGTAAGCCATGTTGAAACTCATTCATTTTATGTTTTTGTTTCATAGACAGATATTTTAGACATAAATATTTATATATGTGTGTTCTTTTTAATTAATGAGGATGATGAGTTACCAAAACCAAGGCTAAACCATATGTAAACTAACAACAGGAATTTTATTACAAACCTCCAAGCTTTTGTACCAGACATTGGCAGAGTCAGTCATAAACTGTTGCTTTAGTTTTCTATTTATTGTTTTGATTTGTTTTTCATTGATTCTGGTGATTACAAAATAATGCATGTCTGCTTCTATAATCATGACAATATATATTATACATGTTTAAATAACTCCATTATATTTTAGAATTTAAACTGAAAAAGATGTGGAAATCTCCAAATGGCACAATACGTAATATTCTTGGAGGAACTGTATTTCGTGAGGCTATCATTTGTAAAAACATACCAAGACTAGTTCCCGGTTGGAAGAAAAGTATTGTTATAGGCCGTCATGCTTATGGAGATCAGGTAATCACTAGTATCCAGTTGCGAACTGTATCACAAATAAAATATTTAGTTTGTGAATATTTTTATACAATTTATACAACCAAAAGGTTAATCACCAGTCATTTGAAACTAAATAAAGGAGATTGAGGTTAAGATTCAGGTAACATTTCCTACATGTTCAGAGAGATGAGGCTTACCAATATAAAATAAGGAGATGAGTTACGATTGCCAATGAGATAACAATCCACCAGAGCCCAAATGATGTAAATTTAAGCAACCAAAGGTCACTGCAAGCCCTTCTTACAATGAGCAAAACCCATATATTGTCAGCTTTTAAATGGCCGACATGACAGAATGTGAAACAGTTTAAACAAAAAAACCAACAGCCTGATTTATAACAAAACAATAAAAGAAAACAAATTTGAAAGACAGCAACCAATGACAACCACTCCTGACTTGGAACAGGCACATATAGAATATATGGGTGTTTAACATGCTTGCAAGTGCTCAACCCTCTCCTTAATTACCTGGGACAGTGTTGTGACAGCACAATATGAGAACATACTGTATAAATCAGTTTCAAATGGCTTCAAAGCCAATAACAACTAATAAATGAATCATGTTTTCCTAGACTAAAGTATCAGTCAGTACACATCCATTGGATTTAGTATGAAGACATCATAAACAGTCTAAGAAAGTATGACCTTGTGCAATACCAAAATATACATACATAAAATTGACATGATATAGAACCTCAAGTTTTCATAAATGTAAAGCAATGAATATTTAATAATGTTTTAAAAACAATACTCAAGCCTATGCTTAATAAAAGATTGGGTATTATTAGCTTTCAAGATTAAACTTTTAGCAGTTTGATTTTGAAGAACATGTGGAATGTGTTGACTTAATTCTTACTTTTGAAGGTCTCCAGATTTGGTTTATTTTTAGACAATTATAACAATACCACAAATCATTGACCTGTAGAAAAAAACTGTTCTGTTGTGGTGTCATGTCATAAATGTTACCAAAGAAAAAAAGTGATATTCATATTGCCTCATGTATACTGTCAGATATATATGTAGTGACAGTCTACAGTCTGTGGGGACGAGCCACTAGATATAATTGCCATTAGAAAAATCAGGACTGGTATATTTTTACTACTGTCATGACCATGATGACTGTCATGATATGTAGTGACAAATTTATCCTAAATCTACAATGCTTGTGTTTAGAGATAATGATGATGCCTTTTCTGTTTTCAGTATAAAGCTACAGATTTTGTGGTACCAGGTGCTGGGAAATTAGAGATGAAGTTCACACCATCAAGTGGTGGGGAAGAAATGTGCTACACTGTATTTGATTTCCAAGATGGAGGAGGAGTAGCTCTGGGAATGTACAACACAGATAAGGTAAGATACTGTACACAAAATGTCCTGTGATATGTGTAAATACAAACACTCAAAAATCAGTTGTATTATGCAAAGAAATAGTACATTTTCAAAATGACTACATCAAGGTACATAGCAAAATGTCCCTTAAGATATAATGGCAAGTTCCAGAGCTGAGTCACATATTGCAATTATCTATTTCGTATCATGTACAATCAGACATTTGGATCTATGTTACATGTATAAAATTACTAGTACAAGGTGTATGCAATAGAACCTCAGCCACAATGCACATTATGTGACAAATATAGTTCATGTTCATATAATTACATTAAATGTATGTTTCATTATAATATGATATTTTGATTGGCTTACAGCAATCTCGCGTCATTCTGAAATTAACCATTTCAAAATGAAATGTAACATTCATGATGACACGAGCTTCCGCAATAAAGTGCATAGGTAAATAAAAGAAAAACTTGATAGAAATTGTGTTTTCATGATCCTAGCAAAAAAATGTAATTATAAGTATTGAATGCTTCTTTTAGTAATTTTATAGGGTTGTAAATGCGTTGACCGTGCGCACATTTTTAGAATTTCAGCGCTTCATACAAAATGTACTTCGTTCAACATTTTTACACCCCAATTAATTTACAAAAAGAAGCATTCAATTCTTAAGTATATGCTAGAAACACAATTTATACTCTTTTAACTATATTTTAAACACACCGTCACCGTAATTTAATGTGTCGGAGCACAAGACATATTTACACCTTTTAAACAGCAAGGATATTGGATGATAATGACAAATTATAATACTAAACTGCAAGATCATTATGACTTCCAGCATTAACATTAGACAATTTATATTCAATAATTGTTTCTTATGTCTTTGGAGTTAAATAAAATTACGCACCAACACACAAGAGAATGTTTGGGTGCAAAATATAATTATAGATTTCTTAATGTAAATATACTCCTTAAAACTTTATGCTGTACAATGTATTGAACTAATAATGTTTTTCGTTTTCTATCAAACACTGACAAAGGACATTATTTTAGGTACATTTTATGTCAAGATAGCATCATTTACATGTACATAATTTTCTTAATTTGTTTGGTTTTTTTTTCAGAGTATAACAGACTTTGCCCACTGTTCCTTTAAGTTTGCCTTACAGAAAGAATGGCCATTGTATCTAAGGTAATGTATATATATATATGAAATTATTTTTCATAATAAATCACGCTTTTTACAGTCACATGTATCTAACTTATGGGAGAAGAACAGAAGTACAGGTACATTAAACTCAATGATGCACCAAAAAGCTTAAAATGCAATTTAATCAGTAAGAGAATGGATATGATGAACAAAGTTCATGTCACAGATTTTGAAATGTAAAAAAGTTTTGTTCATTGTTTTATTGCAAGAACTATTTTCTTCTCTACATGTCAAATGCAAGTGGTTCCCATATATATGCCTACAGTTAAAATTTAAAAAGTAAAATTTTATAAATTTTGTGCGTCCGAAGCACTTTTCTAGATTGACCTTCATCTGGAACTCTTAAACCTAAACATTTGAAAGCCAAGGATGTATAAATATCTGAAAAATTCAGGAACTGTATGACCAAAATGGACATTAAAAGAATAGCCAAATGCATCTAAGGTCAACTTTGGCTGAGGGGGTGGTAAAAAAAATGTCCCGCCTTCTCAAACATTATTTATATTAAGTAGTGTTTTATGCTGATGTATAATGTTCTCACTAATATGTTAATTTATTACTTTAGTACAAAGAATACTATCTTGAAGAAATATGATGGAAGATTTAAAGATATATTCCAGGAAATATACGACACGTGAGTAAATATGTACATTTCCCTGACAACCCCTATTAAATTCAATTATGCAATTGTCTCCCTTAGCATTGTTGCAGAGGCAAAATGACATATTATATAGAGTTGTTTCTTTTTTTAAGTTGGTTACAAAGTGAAAATTTATGTTTGCTTTGACAAATATCCTTCTACTTTTGCATTGCAAAATCAACGTAGTTGAAGTTTTTCTCTAAATGTTTGAAGCTTTAATGATTCAAAATAAATACTTCATTGAAAGTAGTTCAGGGAACATTTTATTTATATAACTCAGATAATTTAGGAATTATGCATCATTAAAAATTGGAAATCAGTAAAATTAATGGTAATATGGGCAATTCCTTTTTTTGCTTCAAATAAAAAAGTTAATAATTGAAGGAAATAACTGATAACGAAAAAGATCAAAGTACTGGTCAGATTGAATTTTTAACAAATAAATGTAAAAGCTTGTATTGTACAAGAGTTGTTCCCCTTGGAAAAATAAAAAAATCAACAAATAGATAGTTTGAAGGTGATCAAAAGCCTGTAAATAGATACATTAGAAGGCTACTCTCTATAATCTCTACAAGGTACATTGTAAATAATATTTCATCTTATAATTACTTTAAGGGAACAATTAAATTGTGTCCCTCTTCACTGCCAAATTGCAACTGGACATTTTAAAAAAGCAAGCAATAATCAGCCAATTTTCACTGCCAGTCTTCCACTTTTATAATAATTAAAGGATTTTTTATCAACGTATGAACAGTTTGGCTATATCTGTGTGCAGACTTATATGAGTCAAACATATTTAATTTTTAAAAGAAGCAAGTAAGGGAAGAAAATATATACTAAATAAGTAAACAAACAATCACTCAAAGCTGTAATTTGTTCTATTTGTTAGTAAGAAAATTATCAAACACTAATTGCTTTCCATTGGTAACTCGTGTAACAAAATATTTAAAAAAAGGAGATTTTTCAATAATATTAGCAGTCTCTTCTTGCAAAAAACATTTAAAAGAATAAAAAAATTACAGATATTATTTTGTGTATTTATATGTTTAATGCATTAAAGACAGGGTTATATATTTTATATATAATTGTTAAAAATTCATGTATATGCAAAACAAATCATTTACAAGTGGAAATCATTCATGCTAATTTAGTATTTTACTATTCCGAGTCTAAAAGAAAAATTGTTTAAAATCTTGTTTTATTTTATCTTGACAGTCAGTATAAGAAACAGTTTGACGATAAGAAGATATGGTATGAACACAGACTGATAGATGACATGGTGGCTTATGCCATGAAATCAGAAGGAGGCTTTGTTTGGGCTTGTAAAAATTATGATGGTGATGTGCAATCTGATTCCGTAGCCCAAGGTAAGTTCTATTCCTGTTCTGTTTTCACAAGAAACAAAATAATGTGGAGCATAATAATGTGGTGTAAAACAATGTATTTTTGTGCCAAATTGTGCAGTAAATGCCTTGATATTCAAATATAAGGTAATGACTTTAAAAAGGCATTTAAGATGTCACATTTACTTTTATTTGAAAAGATAGTTATCTGCATTGCTTAGCTGTTCTTTACATCTTTGAATAAATAACAAACATTGCATTGTAGAGATTTTAGGAACTTCAAGTTTGAACCTTATAACATTGTAATGTAAATATAAAAACTCATCAAAAATACCAGGCTTATAATTTTCTATGCCAGATGTGTGTTTCACTTACATAAGACTTGTCAGTGACTATCAAATAAAAAAAGACCAAATCAAGCATAAAAAATATGATATATCATATATAAATTTTCTGTTCAGATACTGAGGATTTCAAAAAAAGTAAGCTGGAAATAGTTCTATTTCAGAAAAAATATATAGGTGAAGGCACTTTTATTCAATTCGATGTTTGGTTAGAATTTATAGTGAACTGATGCAGTGCAATAAATAAATCAACAACAAAAAGTGTTGTGTGGACATTTTAACAATCCTCTACATTATATCTGAAAACAATCCTTATTAAGTTTCCCATCGTTTATAAATTTCAAAAATAGAAAGTTTGATTAGCAATCAAATCCAACAACACTAACAATTACATTGAATGAAGTCTATAAATAATGGATTGCAATAATTGAAATTTGTGAACTGTTATATACCATGTATACATATTAGTGTACCACATATTTATTTATTTCCAGGATTTGGATCACTAGGAATGATGACCAGTGTATTAATATGCCCTGATGGCAAAACTATTGAATCAGAAGCTGCTCATGGTACTGTCACTAGACATTACAGATTCCATCAACAGAACAAAGAGACATCAACTAATTCTGTTGGTAAGAATTCTTCACTGTTTAGACAATTCACACTTATTGCTACAATAAATGGTTGTTTAAAAAAATCCAAAATATTTAAAGATGAAATAATAAAAACATTATAAACACCAAATTGCAAACTTATAACATATATATGTATTATTTTTAATATGAATATTGAAATAATTTCAACAAAATGTAAACTGTTTATTATTTTATGTCATTTCCAAATCAAAAGTAGTCATACAAAAATATATGGTTGTGTCTTTGCAGTAAAAAAAATTTTCTTTGGTTCTGTACATTGTTCTTTATATGTATTTCTACTCCTGATGAGTCAAAATTTTGTTTGTCCTGAACCAAATTTACAACCCCAAGGTTAACAAAATCATTTAGATTGTATTGGTTATCTCATATATACCTATAATAAGTCGAAACATGACCTCTTGGAGTTAATTGGGTTACAGCGTTAATCTGACAATACACCTGTAATTGAATTTCCAGTCACATACAACTGTATTGATTTATGACACGCTTTATCATGATTACTCCCAAGTGTTTACCAGAGATTATCTTAAATCACCATTGTAATTAATTAGCGAAACAATTGTTCTAGATTATGAAAAATTATTAAACATGTTTTATAATCAATGAACCGTAAACATACATTAAGGAGCTTGGTTGTGCATTAAATAAAGGGAAAGGCCAATTCATAGCAAAGAGACAAAATATCATTGAAGTTTATGATAATGAGAGAAGACAAAAGTATACGGAATAGAACGTGTAAATTGCAAACAAATACAGTGAGAGTGTGCAGAAAATACGTACTTAATAGATATCGCTAAAGAATACATCTTTCAAACTTAAACAGTTCCGTCCTTTAGTGAAATACTGTCAGAAATATTCATCACATTGATGTTTGAAGAACCTTAAGCTTAAATTAAACACATGCAGCAGTATGAAACCCCAAAACGTAACAAATAACCAATAAAGTTTTTTAGTTTATACATTGTTATGCCTAAGCTGGTTCCCGCCTGACTTTTTCTTTCGTAGCATTGTTAAAAAGTGAATTCCAGTCTTAGTTATGCAATGCTATGAAAAGAAATGAGAAATTTGTAGAGGCATTTGATTTTGATACGTATCACTTAATATTGGATTTGTAATTAATAATTGCATATTAATATAGATATTTTAAAAAAGTAAAATAATAGTTTTGAATAGAAATAAGGGTGCCCTCTACAATTTCAATAACAAACATGGCAGATGTGAACAAACATCACAGAATCAAGTTTTTCTCCTATTCCTTGCTTGTAGTAAGTACTCTATAATCCTCACCTCTACCTGGCGATCTTAATTTGGGTGTAAACAAACGCAGACAATACATGACTGAATTTGGTATACAATGCATCCATATCAATGTTTAGAAATTTTAAGATTCAAAGAGAATATTTATGTTTTTTTATTTAAGCATCCATATTTGCATGGACAAGAGGATTAGCACACAGGGCCAAGATAGATGAAAATTCTGAACTGAAGAAATTTGCTGAAAGTTTAGAAGCAGCCTGTGTTGGTGTTATAGAGTCTGGTAAAATGACTAAAGATTTAGCAATCTGTATAAAAGGAATGGACAGGTACGTGTCACTGGTTATTTACAATATACAATGTTTTGTACGTAAATTAGGCTGTTTTCTCATTTGTTTTACATTTGTCTTTTCAGTGCCTTTTATAGCTTACTATGCGATTTAGTTTTGCTCATTGTTAAAGGTTTTATGGTAACCTAAAGTTGTTAACTTTTACATCATTTGGTGTAGAGTTGTCTCATTGGCAATCATTCCACATCTTATTTTTATAAATATAAAATAGTTCTCTTTTATCTCTGGGTCCTCAAAACCCAGTAATCCCCAATCACAGACAAATATAAGAATAATATACTAGTTGTATATGCATTTTTTTTTCTACAAGTCTACTCAATACATATAATATTAGATCATTAACTTTCTTTATAGCTTCTGTTCCATTGCTCTTAGGATAGGGCCTACACAACATAAACAAATATTATTTAATACAACACATAGATGCCATAATAAAAGTTGTTTTTTGTATAACCTTTAATAATTTACAATGTATTTTTCAGTGTGGTAAGAAAGGACTACCTAAACACCTTTGAATTTATTGATGCAGTAGCAGAAGATTTGCAAAAAAGATTACAGAGTTGACTAGAAGAGAGCAAACTTTAGAAACTTACAATTTAAGGGTGATCATTCTTAGTGTTCAAAACATACTATTGTCACTGCCCAATGGCCAAGTAGTTGGGACTGACCTTCATCAGACATATTTAAAACTAACACATTCCTATTTATTTGACAAAGTTATTCATACATTTTGCCATGACCTCTTCTTTTAGTGAAAAGCTGTAATCAACCTATCAAACATTTTTGCTTTAATAATATAAACTCATAAAAGGGGAGAATTTATTTTCTATCTGAAACTGCTTCTGAGAAGCAATTTTGCATTTTATAGCATAATCATGTGTAAAAGTGTATGCCTATTTTTCTAGTACTATAAATGTTGTTGAAAACACATAATGATTTTTAAAAGTGTATTTGGCAAGTAAAAATAACAGATAAAATTTGTTTGTTACCTGTTTAATACCACTGAAACATTACTGTAATTGTGATTTAATTAGCATTATATTTGATTGACTTGATTTTAAATGATTATCTTTGTTTTTGTATATATGTAATTTGTTATAATGGTTAAGAATGCTAGTATACTATTTGAACAAATCTTTAAGGATTTTTTAAAAACTTTTTAGGTATACATGATGGAAATTCATGTTATTTATTTTAGGAAGTGACTTTATTGTTATGATGGTTTAATCTTTTTAAACTCTGTAATATGTTTGATACATAAAGCTTTTAAATGGCAGATTGATTGTTATATGTTTGATACATAAAGCTTTTAAATGGCAGATTATATACCAAGCTTTACACATTTTAATATGTCTTAACTGAAATTTGTTAGAAGAATTAGTCATTTTAATTTTATCTGTTTACAGTTTGTAATTTTCTTTTAAGATATGTTGTTGTTCTTCCTTCAGTATTAACCAGATTAATATATTTATATATATAAAATAATGTGATGAAATTGTGCAATCATGTTCTGTTTAAAAATTAATTTATGTAAATCAAAATTGATTGTGTGTAAATGGCATTTGTTTGTTTATGTAATTATTTTCTCAACATTGTCATATGATAAAAGGCTTTACAAATGGAAAGCATATTTTCAAATCCATAATGTCAGAAGAAGACAAATATTTAAAGGATTTTTTGTTAGTTTATAAGTAACATTTGCATATCTGATAAATATTAATTAAGTAAATTATAATTAACCAAAAAATTAGGAAAAAAACCCAGACATAACAACTTAATTTTTACCTTACAATCTTACCAAACTTCATTTTTCTTTCATTGCAGAGCATTGAATTAATAAATTTGCATGATCCTAGCTTCCAGTTTTCTGTAATAACACGTTTTAAATGAAATAATTGATAAATACTGCAAAAAATGGTAAAAGTTGTTTTAAGATATAACCAGTAACGCATGTATGTATGTATTATTATGGGTATTTTTGTGTATTCTATGAATTTTGTTAATGTAGTGAATGTTTTCATAAGTTATAATAAGGCAATCTTTTCTGTACACTGTGATGATCCAAGCAATTAATTTTAATAAAAATATGATTCTATTTTCTTTGATTTATTTATGCATAATGAAGACACAGATCTAGTAAATGTTTCTAACCCAAAGAAAAGAAGAAAATATAACTTTCTTACTTGTATGATTAAAAAAAATCTGAATGACAAAGGGAGATGACTCTACCTCTAAAATTATTTACCAATACAAGTAGATAAAAGACACGTATTATGATATTATTACGTGACTATTTCTGTATTGGCCTTGTTATTGGCTGAGGACCTATAACAAGGTCAATACAGAAATAGTCACGTAATTATATCTTTATTAATTAACTACAGTGTTTACCTGTTTTTTGTGTGTGTTTAATTTCATTTCACAAGAGTTGAACAGTTTTTACCTTGAAATGGAACTATCTAAATCTGAGTTTCCTTTTATAAGCTACAATGTCAAGTGATCTGGTGCTGTTTTGAGGTGGTCTACATCTTCTGATGATTTGTTCACCCTTTTCAGTCACTATAAAGTGTTACAATTCATATTTAGACACAACACATAAATAGCAATTGGAAAGGTACTGCCATTGCATGAGAGATACAGTCACCCTTCAACAATTCATATGCCTGGTTCGGGTTGAAAAATAAATGGCACCTTACAAAAACATGAGAAATTAAGCGAAAGTAAACAGTAAATCAATTTGTACCTATTAAATGTTTTAAATAGTTGTGAGGTTGACAAGAAATGAGATTGTGATAATATGCAGACTCGTTGCCCAAACCTGAAATAATTAAATGTTCTGCTTACAAAATGAATGTCATTGTCTTCTGCCTGAAATATTTGCCACACTGAAAGCTGTGGTCATGTTTATGGTGTGTGAATAAAATAGTGTCTTCCAAACAATAGTTAATTACATTAAGTTGGTGTTCATCATGACTTTCGATCTAAAAATGCGAGACATTCCGAAATCATGTATTGGCCGGATCAGAACTAGGCCAATACGAAAAAAATTAATATTAGCCGATTTGGCACTTTTGTATAGCACAGGCAGTTATCATCATATTAAGTCCAATAACTGAGTAGTTAATTAATAAAAAAAGTATAATCCCTGACTGTCTGTAATAGATTACGTTAGTCAGCAGATTTACAAGGTGCGGTCATCTTAGGAGTTACACAGTTTGAATTTTATTTGGCATGACTGATTTTTCATAGAGTTAAACCCCTTGGACCTTATAGTATAGTATGTATAAATTATTATACCCTCACTCAAGGATTGGGAGCTTTATTGCATTAACCTTGTCTGTCTGTAACTTTTGTTTGTCCAATAAATATTTTTGTCACACTTTTCTCATAAACTACGATTAAAAAGAATGACTTCATATTTGGTCAGGAGCTTTACAGTGGTGAATTTTGACGTGCAAGATTTCTGAGGATCTGTATGATAACTATTTCCGGTTTGCAGATACTTTGAATTTTTCAATAAATGAATGAACTTAAAATTTTTCGTCACACATTTCTCCAATAATACTGTACAGAATTACTTCATATTTAGTCAGCAGCTTGACATTGATGAGTTATAAAATGTGCACACTTTGCAGATCTGTCCTACACCTTCCTGTTTTCAGATACTTTGTGGACTGGAAAGGGAAAAGTATTTATTGGTTAAACAAGAAGACAACAACCAAACAACACAACAAAAAACATGCATGTGTCTAACTTAAACTTATACCAAGTACAGGAAATACTGGATCAAAATTTCATATGATTTACTTGAATATTCTACCACTGGATTGTTACCACTATTGGTCTGAATCTTCTACATAATAGTATGTGGTTCAACTCGGGCCAGATTTTAATAGCACAGTGTTCAAGTTGATCAATTTTTAGCTCACCTAGTGAGCTTTTCTCATCACTTGTTGTCCGTTGTCGTCGTTAACTTTTTACATTTTGAACTTCTTCTACAGAAACACTGAATGGAATGAAACCAAACATGACATGAATGTTCCTTATGAGGTGCTGACCAAGTGTTGTTTCTTTGAAGCCGATCCATCATCCAAGATGGCCGCCAGTGGGGGACTTAGTTTAACATTGGACCCTATGGGAAATACATACAAATGTCTTCTTTTAGAGAACCACTGAATGGAATAAAACCAAACATGGCATGAATGTTCCTTATGAGGTGCTGACCAAGTGTTGTTACTTTGAAGCCGATCCATCATCCAAGATGGCTGCCAGCGGGGGACTTAGTTTAACATAGGACCCTAAGGGAAATATATACAAATGTCTTATTTTAGAGAACCACTGAATGGAATGAAACCAAACATGGCATGAATGTTCCTTATGAGGTGCTGACCAAGTGTTGTTACTTTGAAGCCGATCCATAATCAAGATGGCCGCCTGCGGGGGACTTAGGACCCTATGGGAAATAGTTACAAATGTCTTCTTTCTCAAATACCATAAGCAGTAGGTCAACTATATGTGGTGTATGGAATGATTGTGAGGGGTACATGTCAGTCTGGCAGATATCATTGGACCTTGACCTCATTTTCATGGTTCATTGGTCAATGTTAAGTTTTTGTGTTTTTGTCTGTTTTTCAAATACTAATAGCAATAGATCAGCTATATTTGGTGTATAGATTTAATTGTAAGGTGTACATGTCTGTCTGACAGGTATAATCTGACCTTGACCTCATTTACATGGTTCATTGGTCAATGTCAAGTTTTTGTGTTTGGGTCTGTTTTTCAATTACCATAAGCAATAGGTCAACTATATTTGGTGTATGGAATAATTGTTAGGTGTACCTGTCTCACACTGTTTGACAGGATTTATCTGACCTTGACCTCAGTGTCAGAGATCTTTAAAAAATAGTTTATGTGATACTTTTAGTAAAACCTTTATCTTTTAGACATAATATATCCTATGTCCTTGACCTCATTTTAATGACTCAGCAACTGCTATAAAAAAATTTAATAGTTTTTTTGACATTCTTATTATGAGTAAAAGAATAACTAGATTTGGTATATGGGATCCTTTCAAGGTCTACATGTCTGTCAGACAGGGTTCACCCGACCTCAACCTCATTTCATGGATCAGTGATCAAGGTTAAGTTTTGAGGTGAAGTCTGTATCTCATATACTATAAGCAATAGGTCATCTATATTTGGTGTGTTGAATGATTGTAAGGTGTACATGTCAGACTGGCAGGTTTCATCTGACCTTGACAATATTTTCATGGCTCATTGGTCAATGTTATGTTTTGTTGTTTGGTCTTTTTCTCAGATACTACTAGTATAAGCAATAGATCAACTGTATTTGGTGTAAGGAATGTTTTTTTGTAAGGTATACATGTCTGTCTGGCAAGTTTTCATCTGAACTTGAGCTCATTTTCATTGTTCATTGGTCAATGATAAATTTTCATGTTTTATGTTTATCAAATACCATAAGCAATAGGTCAACTATAATTGGTTTGTGGAATGATTGTTAGGTGAACATATCTGTATGGCAGGGTTATCTCAGACCATGACCTCTTTTTCAGATACTATAAGCAATAGTCAACTATATGTATGGTATGAAATTCAATGATGACAAGTAAAGCAGGTGAGAATTTCAGAGTGTGCACTCTTGTTAATAATTCTTATACAAATGAAAGTTTAACCTAAAGAAAATAGACAGTATCGGCAGTAAGGTTGTTCTTTTATGTCTCCTTTTATATTGCTTCTTTATATCATAATATCTTTGACTTTCAAACTTTTATCACAGACGGATACATATGCACAACAATCAGGAAGATTGAATAATAATTTAAAGGAAAGATTTTACAAATATAAAGAACAGCAATACATGTATAGTAAAATTTCTATGTAGATATAGAAAAATTTCTCTCTAATTGAAAGGATTAATGTTTCTAGTACATCTGCACTACCGAAATAATTCTTGTTTTCTTGCATAGTTATATGACATTGTAAGAAATTATTACTGAAGTAAAAACTGGAGCTGATATTTAAGTGTACAAGTTTAATAACTAAAAGCTTTAAATGACCTGATGCTTTCAAATCTCATTTTTGTCTTGCCAGTAAGGAAATTAGTGGTAAGCATGACATAGATATTACATAATCAGTTTGCCAAAACATTTGTAGTTCTTGATGAGATCTTGTCAGCCAGTCAGTGTCATCTATGTCAACAATATTTGGTATATGGGACAAATTTGAGGAGTATATGTTGGTCTGACATATTTAAACTGGCTTGACTTAAGTTCAAGCTCCTGTGGTTTGGTGAAGTTTTCATGATTAGGTCTGTTCTGCAGTTACTTCACAATATAGGTCAACAATTTGGTATATGCTTTGCTTTCAAAGAGTACCAGTATATATGTCAGACATATTTCTTTGCCTTTGTCTTTTATTTTACCCTTCTTACAGTTTCTCAATAACTATAATGCATGATAGGTTAGCAATATTTGGTATGTAGATTGTTTGCATTGGGAAGAGCGTATGTCTGTCTGACATTTGTTATATAGCTGTGACCTCATTTTTAGTGGTAATTTATTATAGAGGACTAAAGGTGTAGCATTTAATATAGTTATCAATCTTAATCAAATCCTCCATCAATAGAACCTCACCTGAATGCCAAAGGAACTATAAAAATATTTGTTCTAGCAATATAAAGGCAGATGAAACTTCATGGTATTCTAGAAATGAAAGTTCTCTTTTATATACCATGGACTACATTAGAGTTCATAGATGAAACAGCAGATATAAAAGGTAAACAGACAGATTTTAACATCTCTAGGGATATATAAATAAACAGCTGTGCCATGAGCGCATGATACGCCTGTAGCTTTTTCAAAGAATAAAGTTCAAAACTTCTCAATGTCATATCAGAAATTAAAATAAAATGCTTCGCTGGGGCGCAGCTTGATACGACCGCAGAGGTCGAACCCTGAACAGTTGGGGCAAGTATGGACACAACATTCAAGCTTGATACAGCTCTGAATTTGGATTGTTATTAAATATTTGACACAGCATAGGTTTCTGACACAGAAAGAATGTGGTCTAAGAACTTGAATTTTTTTAATTTACCTATTATATTCCAATGTCCAAAATCAAAATACATGGTTAGATTCAGCATATCAAAGAACCCCATATATTCAATTTTTGTTAAAATCAAACAAAGTTTAATTTTGGACCCCGACTTGGACAAACTTGAAAACTGGGCCCATAATCAAAAATCTAAACATATGTTTAGATTCAGCATATCAAAGAACCCCAAGAATTCAATTTTTGCTAAAATCAAACTAAGTTTAATTTTGGACCCTTTGGACCTTAATGTAGACCAATTTAAAAAACAGGACTTAAAATTAAAAATCTAAATACACGGTTAGATTTGGAATATCAAAGAACCCCAATAATTCAATTTTTGATGAAATCAAACAAAGTTTAATTTTGGACCCTTTTGACCTCAATATGAACCAATTTGATAGCGGGGCCCACAAATAAAAAATCTAAATTCATGGTTAGATTCAGCATATCAAAGAACCCCATATATTCAATTTTTGTTGAAATCAAAAAAAGTTTAATTTTGGACCCCAACTTGGACCAACTTGAAAACTGGGCCCATAATCAAAAATCTAAACACATGTTTAGATTCAGCATATCAAAGAACCCCAAGAATTCAATTTTTGTTAAAATCAAACTAAGTTTAATTTTGGACCCTTTGGACCTCAATGAAGACCAATTTAAAAAACGGGACCCAAATTAAATATCTAAAAACACGGTAAGATTTGGCTTACCAAAGAACCCCAATAATTCAATTTTTGATGAAATCAAACAAAGTTTAATTTTGGACCCTTTTGACCTCAATATGAACCAATTTGATAGCGGGGCCTACAAATAAAAAATCTAAATACATGGTTAGATTCAGCATATCAAAGAACCTCATATATTCAATTTTTGTTGAAATCAAACAAAGTTTAATTTTGGACCCCAATTTGGACCAACTTGAAAACTGGGCCCATAATCAAAAATCTAAATACATGTTTAGATTCAGCATATCAAAGAACCCCATATATTCAATTTTTGTTGAAATCAAACAAAGTTTAAATACTGGACCCTATCTTGGACCAACTTGAAAACTGGGCCCATAATCAAAAATCTAAACACATGTTTAGATTCAGCATATCAAAGAACCCCAAGAATTCAATTTTTGTTTAAAATCAAACTAAGTTTAATTTTGGACCCTTTGGACCTTAATGTAGACCAATTTAAAAATCAGGACCCAAAATTAAAAATCTAAATACACGGTTAGATTTGGAATATCAAAGAACCCCAATAATTCAATTTTAGATGAAATCAAACAAAGTTTAATTTTGGACCCTTTTGACCTCAATATGAACCAATTTGATAACGGGGTCCACAAATAAAAAATCTAAATACATGGTTAGATTCAGCATATCAAAGAACCCCATATATTCAATTTTTGTTGAAATCAAACAAAGTTTAATTTTGGACCCCAATTTGGACCAACTTGAAAACTGGGCCAAAAATCAAAAATCTAAATACATGTTTAGATTCAGCATATCAAAGAACCTCATATATTCAATTTTTGTTAAAATCAAACAAAGTTTAATTTTGGACCCTTTGGACCTTAATGTAGACTATTTTGAAAACTGGACCCAAAATTAAAAATCTAAATACACTGTTAGATTCGGCATAACAAATAAATAAATGTGATCAAAGATTTTACAAATCTAATGTGCCATACTGTGCAATTAAAGATTACTTCTTGAAATTTTTCAATATTTGAAATTTGAAAAAAAAATAATATTTGAAGAATAATTCTTTTTAATTTCTGAAATCTGAAATGAGAAAAAATTGACCCCCCACAATTTCTTTTTATCCCCCCCCATTTTTTCCCCAAAAAATTCTTTCCCTCAAGATATGGTCATAATCTCAATTCAAATTTCCAATGGAGTTGGCAACCATAATTACCCATCTAATTTTACCATAGTGCTAACTTAATCTATTTTATAAAAGAATTAAAAATATAGTGTCAAATCTTTCATATAGATTTTTTTGTAAAATAAAATGATGCAACATTTGCAGATATTTTTACTGGTCTTCCTTTATAAATATGCATTTCTTTAAACATAATTTAAAAGCAGTGTAAGGGAAGTAACCAAAACGTTGTATTTGGATTACCTCCCTTACACTGTTTTAAATTATCTTTATTGTTCATTAACCATTACTTTATACATAATTTAAAAGCAGTGTAAGGGAGATAATTTCAATGATGTATTTGATTTATCTCCCTTACACTGCTTTAAATTATGTTTTGTACTAAAGTATTTGTCCATTAACCAGGACAACCTTGTTTTCCCCCCTTTTTTGCCCCTAATTCCTAAACGGTTTGAGCCATAACCCCCCAAAGCAAATCCTAACCATCCCTTTGTGGTATGGAAACTTGTAGTATAATTTCAGAGAGATCCATACACTGTTCCAAAGTTATTGTCTGGAAACTAGAAAATGCTTATTTTTGGCCCCTTTTTGGCCCCTAATTCCTTAACTGTTGGTACCATAACCCCCAAAATCAATCCCAACCTTCCTTTTGTGGTATTTAACCTTATGGTAAAATTTCAAAAAGATCCATTCACTTAAACTAAAGTTAGAGTGCGAAAACCAATGTGTATTCGGACGACGACGACGACGCCGACGCCGGACGACGACGACGACGCCAACGTCATACCAATATACGACCACAAAAATTTTTTTGCGGTCGTATAAAAAAAACTAAAGGGAGGTTATCTTAATAGATATAAACCAGTCACCAGTTTCAGGAAAACTGCTCAAAGCACTTTAAAGATATTGTCTGAAAACTGGAAAATCACCCCTTTTTATGAATAAAATCCCATAACTCGGAATCGTAAAATCTAAAATTTATAAAAATCGAAAGGGAGCTCATGTCAATAGTTATAAATAATTCACCAAAGTTTCTTGCAAATTGGTGAAAGTGTTTTTGAGTTATTGTCTGAAAACTGGAAATCCCCCTTTTTTAATGAATAAAACCCCCATAACTCGGAAAGGTAAAATCTAAAATTTATAAAAAACGAAAGGGAGCTCATGTCAATAGATATAAACAATTCACCAAAGTTTCATGCAAATTGGTTAAAGCGTTTTAGATTTATTGTCCGACATGTGGACGACGGACGGACAACGGTATACCATAATACGTCCCGTAAACCGGCGTATAAAAACCATAATACAAATGTTTTGATTCAATATTTTAATAAAATTGTACAGAACAGAAAAGGTTACATTCATTTCTATCAAAAGAACTATAAAAGTAATTTACCAAAACATTTGTACGGAACAGAATTCTTGTACATCAGATTATATAAGCTAGTAAAATTTGATAGGATGCAATGTAACTTACTATAATTTAATCAATTAAAATTTGAATTCTTAACAACAATTTAACAAAATATCAAACATCTGGCAGCATGGTACAGACAAATACCACATCTGGCAGCATGGTACAGACAACTACCACATCTGGCAGCATGGTACAGACAAATACCACATCTGATGTCTGGAAAACATACCTGATCATGTAAAAGGTACTGATAGGTCATTCAAAATTGTGATTTCATATATTTTCGAAAGGTACCAACTTTTGTGGGTTGAGGAAAAAAAATAGTTTGATACTTTTCATACTAGATTCATTTTGCAGTTTTTAAAATTCTGCTTACAAGCCTTTTGAAAGTGCTTATGTTATTGAAAACTTTAAATTGTGGTTCACCTATGCAAACAGAACAAAAGAAAATAAGTTTCCCACGAATATATGTATATTATTGTACATGTGGTGTGTATAACCAGTCGAAACAATTTAGTTATGCTTTAAATTGTTATATAATTAGAAAACTTATAACTGGGTTATACTTAATTAATATCCATATCAATTGAAAACCTCAATACTAACATAGTACTTAATAATCATACTTTATAAATTACAACCTTCAGACATAACATAATATATGATAATAAATTCATTTTCACAGTTGCATGGTTTAACAATCATATTTTGTGAATCCACTATACTTTGGACTTAATAAAACATAATAATTCCATAATTGCATTGATGTCATACACAATCATTCTATTCCATTGGACTTTAGGATACACAATATCCACAATTAAATTGTTGTCATACACTAACATTCTGCTCAATATATCCTGAGCTATCAACATCTTTCTAGGAATACATTGGACTTTATGATACATATCCATAATTGCATTGATGTCATACACACACATTTTGCTTCATAGCCAGACCTATCACCATCTTTCAAGGAACACATTGGACTTAAAATACATAAAATCCACAATTTAATTGATGTCATACACAAACATTCTGCTTCACAGCCTGAGCTATATCAACCTCTTTCAAAGAAAAATAAAGAAATATTTTTTTACTTGTGGGCACCTGAGTGTTCTGACCACTTTATCTGAAAATCTTAATTTAACGGATATAAATGAATGCATGCAAATTTCATTATATAAAAGCAAAAAATGAAAAAAAATAATCTAAGGGTATAAGTTTAAAGGTAAAATGTATCTAGTGCCTATTTTTGAAAAAAAAAAGAATTGCTAATGATTCAATGATTTCTGCAAATTTTGATTATTACAGGAATTTCAGAGTAATGCTGATAAGAATTATTTGAAGAGGTAGAGTGAAGTGAGATAGATTCCATAATATCAGCAGAGAAAACAAAGGATATTAAGGTGGTACCCAACACCTTGACTAATATTAATTTGGCTCGTTTAATTTTCATAAAATTTTGACAAAATGTTTACTTCGACCCTTTGACAAAAATATAAAAATTTCAAAAAATTTCAACCAACCACTTTATCAGAAAAATTTCATTGGTTATATAGCAGTTTGACAAACACTAATTTTGATCATTGAGAAGCTTAATATTTCCTTAACAATACAACGTGATTAAAACGTTTAGCTGATTTTTACAGAGTTATCTCCCTGTAGTGTTAGGTACCACCTTAAGTGGCAGGATTCATCACTATTAATGGGATACTTATTTTCATATATAGATTTCATGGCTTGAGTAAACAGCAAATTAAAAGATGTAACCCTAAGACAAGGGACATAGCTCTTACAAATCACTAGAACTCTTGTTTCAACCATTTCCATGAATAGATTGCAAGCTTCTAAGTAAGACAGATTATTTTACATCTGTTTCACATGCAGTTGAAGAGTTTACTCCCTTAAACCAGGTGTTGGACAAAATACAAATTCCAGTGTGCTTAGATAAAACCACAAAATAAAGTATTCACAAATATATAATTTTTCCTCAATCCCAGAAAATAAATGAGTCTAAAGCAGCTGCACATTCTATAAAACACAATCATTCATAACTTTTTGAAAACTCTTTATTACATATACCCAACTCTAAAATTGTATATATTTTCTGGGAAAAACCACTTGCTACATAAAAACTTAACAATGCTGTCTATCAGTCTACAACGAAGAGAAAAATCAGTTTATATATCATATCTATTATGAATGGATGAGTGCTGTAACTCCCATCCCCCCCCAACTGCCCCCAAAAAAAAGAAAAGAAAAGAAAGAAGATAAAACATAAGAAAACAAAATCAAAACAAAATCAAAACAAAAAAAAAACATCTAGAATATTACCTTGTGTATATATTAGCAAATTGATGCATTATGCATTTAAATTAAATAAAGGTATGAGATTAGCTTCTAAACATAACATTGTGACATTGAATTGATAGAATTATCTCTTATATTACAATACAATTGTTTAGAATAGAAAACCTTTTAGATAAAATTACTGTACCAGAAAAAATACTGAATAAATTATATGAAACTGAAAATGAAAGAAAACTGTTAACAGATATAAAATGTTTGAATGAGGCCCCTTTAAAAGAACTGCATGTATAATTTGTGAGTGATTATTGAATATTTCATCAAGACTCCTTCAAAATATAGTTCTCTCAAGATAAATTAAAACTGTTTCATAACATTTAGAAAACAACTGGCGAAATTTTTATTAAAGTTTCAATCAGCTACAATTAATATCATATTCTATTGTATGGGAAGTCACTACACACAGAAATGTTAGTTTCTTCCAAAGAATCCATTTCAAAACTCAAGAGCGTAATTCTTTTCAAATTTTAACATGTCCTGCTAGCATAGCCTTTTAAAAATACCTAAAAATTTAATTGCTTATGAAGTAATAGCGTATTACACACAATTCTGTTGTAGAATCGGTTCCTTAAATTTTTTTTAGAAAATTACAATGGGAGAGTTAAAAATATACAATGACATTTACACTGTGCATTATACTTAAATTATCTATGGTTTTGAAAATGAGAGGGAATTTCTCAGCTACAATCTCATTGAAGGGTCACTCAGCTGAGATGTAGCTGAGAAAATTCCTAGATTTGAAAGACCAAAGATAATAAGTTTATCACAGCTTTCCTCAGCAATGTCAATGAAATTGGATTATGACGTCATAGTGTTCTCATTTGAGATGGAAAAATATCACAAAAATAGATCAAAACAAAATTTAAGAAAATTGCGATTTAATTATTGAATAGCTTATTCAAGAATTGAAATATAGAGAAATATTCAATGAGTGACTGAACAACACATTAATTCATGAATGCACGTAGTGCACGAGTAAATTATTGGTTGAATATTTTTCGATATTTCAATTCTAGGATTATTAAAATTGTCCATGGATAATATAACGGAAATAGTGTAAAAAAATGAAGAGAACTATATCTTTTTCTACGCATTCTCAACGGTTTTGATTTGTTTTTCACTGGGAAATCAAAGTAATTCATTGCAATCAATCTTATAATGTGACATATATATGAGAACGAACTGAATGGCCATATGATGACTCTTATAAAAATATTGAGTAAATTCAATCAGAAGTTTTCATCCCAATATGAGAAGGAATTTATCAACATATTTGTATTCATATTTGAGTTATAAACTTGCTCTTAGGTATATTTTTGGGCTCCTGCTAGATTCTTAGGAGAAAAGGGTCTTACTTAACAAAAAGGACACTTTTGTTCAAAATTGTAAAGTTTCAATAATGCAATATGTTACATTTTGTCAATATGTTAATGATCTAATTAATAATAGTTAGAAACTAAAATTGATTGACTATTGGTGTTTAATGTCATTTTAAGGACTACTGGCTATATTATGGTGGTCAGTTTTGGTGGAGGAAGCAGGGGTGCCTGGAGAGAACCGACGACCTTCAGTAGGAAAACTGTCAATCCTTGTCAATTAAGATTGGATTCAAACATTCCTGCCTTATGCGGGGTTCAAACTCACAACCTGAGTGTTGACAGGCTAGTGGTACTGTAGATGAACTACTTAACTACTCCGCCACCTAAGACCCTGAAGATTACTAAAATAAAATGCTAAAACGTAAATAATAAAATGATGTTCTACCCTCCAAACATACAACATGTGTACATGACAAGCATAAGTTCTTTTTATCATGACTGAATATTGACAACAATGAGCACTGACCTATTTTTCTCCTTCAAGTTGGCTCAACTTCTTGAATTGTGTAAATCACTCTTCCAATAAGTTGCAAAATTATTTCAGTAAAAGGATAATTATCCTTTGAAAAAGTTGCTCTCTTTTCCAAAAGAAAAACCTGTTAAACATGTAATTGCTGATGATTGGTCAAAGTGATTTTACATGTAGGTTCCTTTACCCTGTGGGTTTGGAGAACCTATTCATAGGAACATAATCTCATACCTGCCAGGTCATAACCCATACAAACTTTTTTGGTGGAATTCAATCATGAGTGAATGCTTATAAATACAGGGTTGACTGTATATGCTAATTATGGAATGACCCTTTTCTGCATTTCAGACTTCTCTTTTTGACCCCTGAGAACAATAAAGTTTTTAACTTTAAAATTTAGAAGATAATATTTTTTGCATACATTTTCTGATATGGGAAGAACAAAACTGAAAAAAATAATGAAATGGACCTCTAATAAGTAATACTGGATTTTTTATCTGCAGAATCACATGTACATTGACAGATTGATTGATTGGTATTTAATGCCACTTTAAGCACTATTGTGCTATTTCAAGGTGGTCAGTTTTTATTGGTGGAGGAATGGTAGAGTACAGCAGTAGTGAAATAAGATGACAGGAATCCAGTTTACTGTACTATATATTGCTAGTGTGTACTGTAAATTGCAGATAGACTCCTGATATATATGATTTTGTTTTAGGATACATGTCAGTTAACAACAATACCAGGTGTAGGGGATACACAGTGATACATATAGTCATTATATATATGACAATCTATGACAGTGAAATACTATAACAAGTGGAATGAAATTAAATACATGTATATATGTATGGGACTACTTATTGCCCTGAAAGGAAACAAAGTGCAGACTAACTATACAAGAGTGCTGCTGTAAAAAGCATAAGATATACATATGGCACCTCATTTAATCACCTAACTATTATGTTCTTGTACTCACTCATTTACACTTAAAAAATGATTTTATGTGAAAATAACATGATTTATTTTACCTCTATTGTTAGTATCAAATAAAATGAGAATTGTATTATATGTTCATTTAAATTATTTACTTTTGAATCTGAGACAATGGCATGACTATCCCAGTGGACCAGTACCATTAAAAGTATGTTCAAAAGGTTTTAGTCTCTCCATAAAATTTTACTACTGTGTGAAGGTATCTGCCTGACCAAAACAGACTGTTGGCCATGTTGTTTCAATATCTAATGGGTCATACATTTTAATAAAAACCTATCATTAATTACCATTTTTGTTTGGCATAGTTGCAGATCCTTGGCAATCTGCAATGGTTTTAAGCCTTTTTGAACAACTGCCATATATATACATTGTATATGTACTAATAAATAAAGTATTGACAAAAAACCTATGCCAGTTCAGATATCTTACATAATGTCATATATAACATGTATCACATTTACATCACAATTTATCACATCTTTTAAACAGCATATATACAGCTAATGAGGTTATAAAACACTAAATAAATATATAAACTGTAAATTCAGAAATTATTGCAAGGTTTTTGTTAATGCGATTGGGTGAGTATTGCAATAATTAGAACCCTCATTCTGAACTCAATACATATATCTGTATGCAGATTTGCCTGAAATCGCAATAATTAATCTAGAATTTCTGTCCATTCTTCAAAAATCGCAATAAAAAATGTACACAATAATTTCAGAATTTACAGTAATTAAAATCCAGGGAATAATTGACAGCACTATTATCATAATTTGTACTTGCAATTCCTCATCTTCTATAAGGAATAACACTAAATATTACAATTGTTCACTTCATACATTCATGATTGCTGATCTTATTCTCATTGTTGGCACATGTGTAATTCTCACATAATTCTTCTGTTACTTGTTAATTTATTTTATTTCCACCTCCATCTAGCTTATCCTATTTCAATACAATAAAAAACTTAATGCTTCCTCAGATGCGGCGGGGGCATCAAAATTAAAATAGTACATAATATGTCAAACTGTTTTAAAGACTTGTAACCAAGACAAAATATAATAGGCTATGTAATAGGACAATCTAGTTCTCTGTCAAGTAAGAGCAACTAAAAGAAGTAAAATCAAGCTTACAATCAGTGTAATTTGGTAGAAAATTTTAGTTTTTTCCAATGATTTTGTTGTGTGTTTAAAAAACATAAAACAGATAATTTTTCCCTAAATTGCACCTATTGTAAGCTTGATTTTACTTCTTTTAGTTTCTCTAACTTGACCAAATACCAGAATGTCCTACCTCTTAGTAGGTTACCTGTCAAAATTTATAAACTCCGGAGTCAAAAGGTTGGTAATATGAAAATAGTGTTTTAAGGTAAAATATAACAGAAGTGTCTTTGCCTAGCCAAGTTATTTGATAACCATTTCAGTTTTCCAGGGTATGATTATTCAATGTCAAGCAGTGGCCTATGGCACATACAGGATTTTCAAAAGAAGGGAGGTTCCACTCTCTATCCCTCTTAAACTGAAATATTATTTCAAAAAGGGGAGGGGAACCAGAAAGGGGAAGGTGTGGTAAGGGTCTTCTTATTTGGCATCAATTATCAACTCCATTATTTCATATTAAAAGTGTTTCAAGTTGATAAAAAGAACATTATTGTAGAACCCTTCTAATGGACAGTGGCAGATCCAGAAATTTTTATAAGGGGGGCCCACTGACTGCCTAAGAGGGTGCTCCAGTCATGCTTCAGTGATTCCCTCTATAATCAACAAAATTTTTCCCACAAAAGGGGGGCCCAATGCCCCCTGAAAAACCCTCTAAATCCACCTCTGATGGAACATTGACATTTACACCCCAAACTGGCAAAAATAGAGATTTTTGCAAAATTTGACAAAATCTCCTAGATTTCAACGAATTTAGGCCTAGGAAACAGAGCACAGGGTTTGACAATATTGATAATAAGGCTTCATTTCATTTCAAATAATGCAAGGTAAAATTACCTAAAGTAAAATCTAAAATTTTGGTAGAAGGAAATGCTAATTTTATCAAACCTTTGAAAAAGTGAATTTGAATAGCCAATAATTTCATTCTATTCATTCTGAATTATAAGTTGAATTTTTTGTAAAAAAATTCCATGAGTATAAAAATTAATTTTAATAAAAAGGAGATCAATCATCACACATTTTTTGAAAAACATTGAAAAGATAATCACTTGAACTTTATTTTTATAGTTAACTTAAAAATGTAGAAAAAACGATCAAATATAAAGTTTTATAAAAAGGATGACCCTTTTTGGCTTAAAAAACTGAAGCATTACAAAAACAAGATGATTTTTGCGTAAAATAATTGAAAGGAATATGAAAAGTTTTGATGTAAGCATTTATAAATATTATGAAATTCACCAAGGTGAATGGTAAAAAAGCACAAAATGAACTATCGCACAAAAATTTTAAAAAAATGCATAATTTGAAAACATATTTTTGAATGGGAATATCAAGCAAATGCAAATACCAAATAATATTTACATGAAAGGTGTTCATATAGACAAACACTGTGGGAAATAATTTAGTTGGTACTGGTATATACTCTATATTTGTGTGTCCAAACAATTTGAAAATTGACAGAATGGCTTTTCATGATAATAGGTTTGACCCTAAAGTACTTGTTTTAAGTTTTATATTAACTCAACTTTAAAATACACAAAAATTTGTAAGGGTTCCGCGGAACCCAGTGTCTCGCCTACTTTTTCTGTTAATTGCAGGCTCAACAAAAATGAGGAAGTAAATCAATAAAAATATTCCTCTTGATACTATCTTTTGATTGTAAGAAGCTTCTGTCCAAGTTTGGTAAAAATCCAGGATAGTTTATGAATCTAATAAATGTTTAAAAACTTTAACTGCAGACTGAATGTAATGTTAACTGGAAGAAAACAAAATTTCTTTCTAGATACTAGCATTTGATCATAAACAAGCTTCTGTCCAAGTTTGGTACAAATCCAAAATAGTATAAGAATGTTATTAAAATTTCAAAAACTTTAACCACAGAGTGAATGTGTTGTTTCCTGGCAGAAAATCTAAGTCCATTTAAAAGTAAAACAAGAAAAAATGGATTTATTTTTTTACAAAATTTACTTCTAGATACTATCTTATGGTCATAAACAAGCTCCTGTCCAAGTTTGGTACAAACCCAGGATAGTTTAAGAAAGTTATTAAAATTTTAAAAACTTTAACCACAGAGTGAATGTAATATTTCCCGGCAGAAAAACTAAGTCCATTTATAAGTAAAATACGGAAAAAATGGAATTTTATTTTTATAAAATTTACTTCTGGATACTATCTTATGATCATAAACAAGCTTCTGTCCAAGTTTGGTAGAAATCCAGGATAGTTTAAGAAAGTTATTCAAATTTCAAAAACTTTAACTACAGAGTGAATATTTGTGGATGCCGCCGACGCTGACGGAATGTATGATCGCTATGTCTCGCTTTTTCGACTAAAGTCGAAGGCTCGACAAAAATGAAAATCTTCAATTTAAAGTTCAATCTTCGATTAAAAAAATTAGGACAATTACATGAATTACAAAAATTTGTCATGTCAGACCAACGACTACCTCCTGTTTGTATAAGTTGTTGCACAGAAATATAATGAGGAAGGTAAGGACAGTAAGCGCTTGGTTGAGACAATCCTGTGTACAAAAAATGAAAAAAATAGGGAATTACAAAAAAAACATTTTTTAAACATTCTCATCTTGTGTTCAGAAATATGGAACAGGAGGGATAAATTCATTCTGTTATTGACTTGCACTAAATCTGTAAGGAGTTTTAATTTTTAATATTTTAAAAGATGTTTAATTGAGAAATTTATCCTTAGGCGGGAGGTTATACTCATTAATCTAAAAATAAAATTTAAGGCCCTTGTTAAACAAAATTTCAGCATTATCAATTTCAAAAATATATCATTACCATGATTAGTGTTCCTATCAACAAGAGAAGATGGTCATTCTGTGCTTTTTAAGACCTATAATTATCACTTAACTATCATTTGATAACAAAAGTAACTATGGTAACAGCAAAAACAATGAAGATATAACTGTCACAGTATCAACAAGTTCAACCTTTTCAACTGAAATCATCCTCCATAAAAAGAACAGGAAATTTGTTCATGTATTACATTCACTAACAGCAGTAACGTCAAATGTGATAGAAATCATCTTTACAACCATTCATTCACTCAATATGTTATATTCTATCAAATACTCAGGATAAGCCTGAGCACTATCAAATATAACAAATATTTTAGGGGCATGAATGTGATCAACACACGAGTCATAGTACCTCCCAGATGGATCGTCAGCAAACAATGGAGGAGGCTTTCTAAAATTAGCATTTCCACCTGTATATTTTCCGACAAGGACTCGACTGAGAATCATTCTATGCATGGGTTTTTCTTCCTGCATTTCCTGCATAACCATGGGTGGAGGATTTGATTGGTAGAGTACTTGTGGTTGACCATATCCTTGTGAATTAACAATAACAGAAGGTGGCTGAGAACCAACAGCCCTTTGTCCATTAGCACCATTGTTTTGTGTTGAGACTTGTTGTCCAGCCTGTATATTGGTGTAAAGTAAACAGCTACCCTGTGATACATTTGATGAAGTACTAGGACGTGTGTATACTCTTAACTGTTGGAAATTTTGCGATGAACTATTATTTGGCTGTTGTCCAAATTGTCCTGCATTCATTGATGGAGGGTTCAGAATAAGTGGAACCATCAAACCTGTCCCTCCGTGTAAATGAAAATGAGCTGGAGGTGGAACAGGCATGAAAGGTCTTGGTAATCGACTTCGTCTGCTTGGTTTGTCTGTATACTGGTGTGAATAATTAGCATTTACAGCAAAATAACAACCTAAAAAAGACCAATTTTATTTAAGTCATTTTACACCAAAATCTTTATTACAAAACCAACATAAAATACAGTACAAGATGGTAATTACAGTTGAAAAAACTTGATTCCTTTATATCTACACAAATGTCTAATATTTTTTAATCATTATTTGGTTAATGGAAACATAAGGTATAAATTACCAAACAAAAACATTACAAGGTGATTAAGAGCTTGACGTTTTGTGCATAAATAAATAAATCCACAGTATGCACAGCCACATCATTTAAACACTTCATTATCTGAGCACTGTGGTTTTATTTGCGTGGAAAACAAACTTCTTTGACTGAGGAAAAGTTGTGTTTTTGTGGATATTTCATGGATTTCCCAAAGTCTGCATACCAGCCTATAGAAGATTTATACTTCTTTGAACATTTATATTCATGGTTTACATTTTTCCTAAGAAATGCATCAAAATTTGTACCCCAGGAATAATAGTGAATCTACAATCCGTTATAATAAATAAATTGCATGAAATGGGATGGATAGGATCTGAAGAATGTTCACCTCACTACAAAGGTAGAGATGAGGTCTGGAGGATATAGATATCAAGCCAGTGACCAAATTAAGATTTTGATATGTTCCTGTATGAAACTATTTTTGTGTTGATGAGGTCTATGAGTTTTTAAAAGTAAGTCACAAAATTAAAAACAACCCTAGGGGCTTCCATGGAACCATGTGTCTCATCTGTGATTTCTGATGTCAATGTAAAAGTACTATATATATATATATATATATATATATGTTGATAGCCAAAAACAAAGTTTTGTAACATTCCATTAAGTTTTGACAAAATTGTTGATATCTAAACAAATGTTTACTGCATAAAAACTAATTTCATCTATCATTAAAATACGGTAAAATGAATTTATAGCTTCCTTTATCAGTAAAAATCAACAACAAAAAAAAAGAAAAATTTTGCCATAAAAATGTAGGTAATATCTTTTGATCATGAAGAAACTTCTGCTCAAGTTTCATAAACATTCAGCATGTTCAAAATTGGTTAAAATTATTGACTTTTGAAAAAGTCTTATAGCTAATTTCACCTTGACCATAGACTGTTCCATTCTTTCCACAGACTCTCCAATCAAATCCTTTCTTACATATGGATTCAACAATTGCTGCTTGAGTGCCATGGAACAGTTTTCTTTCTTCAACATCAATCCCATCATTCTCTTGAATCATTTCAGATCTTTTTCTACAAAGATAAAGTTCATATCTATTAAAAAAACGAATATATTCAAAGTGTCTTTAAGAGTATCAAATATTTTCTTATTCATGACAATGATATGTGTAAATATTTATAAAGACTCATTATTAGCACAAAAAAGAAATTAAGTATTTCTCATATCTGAAAGACAATCACCTTCAGTCTAAAAGAATATCAGGTAAATTTAAGAGACTATCAAAGATATAAAACCAACATAAAATTCCCTACTGGAAAAAACCACATTGAGATATTATAACTACAGATAACAAGAGTGCACATGCTGAAATGATTCGCCTACTATACTGACCATTATACCAAGCCGGAAATACAGGTATACCTTTAATACGATCATCCCATGCACCAAATATAGATGACCTTTTGCTTATAGTATAAAGAAACGACCAAACCATGGAAATTTTATATTGACCAATGAACCATGAAAATGAGGTCAAGGTCAGATGAACCCTGCCAGACAGACATGTACACCTTAAAATCATTCCATGCATCAAATATAGTTGACCTATTGCTTATAGTATCTAAGAAACAAAGTTAGCCAGGAAAAGTGAATATTGACCAATGAACCATGAAAATGAGGTGAAGGTCAGATGATAAAATTGAGAATGGAAATGGGGAATGTGCCAAAGAGACAACAACCCGACCAAAGAGCAGAAAACAGCTGAAGTCCACCAATAGGTCTTCAAAACAGCGAGAAAATTCCGCACCCAGAGGCGGGCTTCAGCTGGCCCCTAAACAAAAATGTGTACTAGTTCAATGAAAATCAATGTCACACTAAACTCCAAAACATATAAATGAACTACCTGCCAGACAGACATATAAACCTTACAATATTTCCATACACCAACTAAAGTTGACCTATTGTTTAAGAAAAACAGACCAAAACACAAAAACTTAACATTGAGCCATGAACCAAGAAAATGAGGTCAAGGTCAAATAAAACCTGCCAGACTGACATGTACATAAAATATTTCCATACACCAAATACAGTTGACCTTTTGCATACAGTATTAGAAAAACAGACAGAAACAAAAAAATTAATTTTAACCACTGGACCATGAAAATGAGGTCAAGGTGAGATGACACCTGCCAGCTGGACATGTACATCTTACAATCATTACATACTGTTGATTCATTTTTATTCGTGGTATACCAATTTTCGTGGGTTTTGTGGGTCACAGCGAACCACGAATTTAAGAATTCAAAGAAGAATAATCCCGAGAAATGTGTATGGAGTCGGATGTTTATTTCCGGTTATGTTATGCAGTTCTAGTATAGTGTTGACTATTGATAAACATTGTAACATAACACGTGTTTTTATTAAAAGAAGATACAAGTATTTTGATTAAATCAATCATAAATATCGAATATCAGTGATAATTTACTTTTTAAAATTGAATAAAACTGTTCATGAAAAATAACTGCAAGTTGTTAATTACCGTGTCATAGTGTGGTTTACTGGTGATTAAAATTCAATAGGATTAAGTACGTGGATATTGCCCGTAGGTAATATTGTTTATGACAGGAACATTTATTTTCACACCTTTTACTTTTATGACTGTTTATTATATCGTGATTAGAGAAATGAGATTTCAATCATAGAGTTTTGAATGCCTTATAAGATTCCGACAAGAATTTATAAATTGTAAAACAAACAAGTAATTAGTTGTCTCTGTCCATTATTGTAATAGAAATTTTCAATGCACACTTTAACCTAGAATGACCAAGCGAGGATTTTGACAATTCAAAACTTTTTCAATGAATTCCTTCTTTTTTGTTTGTTTTATTATTGATCAAATCAAGGAGGTTATATGATCTCCTAAATTAAAAAGAAATCCACGAATTACGTATCTGATTTTTTTTCCTTTTTGTTAACAGCGATCCACGAATTTACGTATACCACGAAACGTCTTTTTTCTCTATCCACGAAAATTGATACCCACGAAAATAAATGAATCCACAGTACACCAAATATAGTAGACCTATTGCTTATAGTATCGGAGATATGGACTTGACCATGAAAACTTAACCTTGTTCACTTATCCATGAAATCAGGTCAAGTGAAAACTATCTGACAGGCATGAGGACCTTGCAAGGTATGCACATACCAAATATAGTTATCCTATTACTCATAATAAGAGAGAAATTAACATTACGAAAAATGTTAACTTTTTTTCAAGTTGTCACTGAACCATGAAAATGAGGTCAAGGACAATGGACATATGAAAGACAGAAACTTCATATCATAAGGCATCTATATACAAAGTATGAAGAATCCAGGTATTCTACCTTTGAAATATTAAGCTGGATCACTATCCCTATGTCAAGCTTTCTGCGACAGAAGTCGCAGGCTCTACAAAAACTGACAAAGTTCTTGACATGGGACAGTCATATGTGATAATGCTCACAGTTTCTCTTAACATAGTGTGAACTTTGTTTATAAACATTGGTAAAGGGTTCTGTGTGTGTCTTTGAGTATTACCAGCCATTGCTGCTGCAAGCGTAAAAGGGTAAAGTTGGCTACCAAAAATTAAGTCCATTTATCAGTAAATAAAATGGTGAACACAGAGATATGTTGCTGGGAATAGCATACATAAGTCTCTTTTTTTTATCTCTGTCAAGGGAAGACAATACTGAAAAAATAAAGATAAATGGGGAATGTGTCCATGGGATACAGATGATGTCCCCCCCTAGCATATAACGTTAAAAAGGGACATAACTCAAGAACTGTAAAAGTGACACTACCCAAATTTGTACTTGATCTGAGTTTTGCGGTAATAAGCATTGTGTATACGTTTCATAACATTTAGTTGAGGCAAACTTAAGTTAGAGAACGGAAACGAAAAATTCAGCAATTTTTTCATTTGTAAAGGGGCATAACTCTAGAACGGTAAAAGTGACGCCACCAAAATTCGAACTTGATCTGTATTTTGTGGTAATTAGCATTGTGCATAAGTTTCATAACATTTGGTTGAGGCAAACTAAAGTTAGAGAATGGAAACGAAAAATTCAGCAATTTTTCCATTTGTAAAGTGGCATAACTCTAGAATGGTAAAAGTGACGCCACCAAAATTTAAACTTGATCTGTGTTTTGTGGTAATAAGCATTGTGTATAAGTTTCATAACGTTTGGACACACAAGGGTGGCATATATAAAAATAAAAGTTTTTCTTCAGATTCCATTTCTTAATCACGAAGAAGCTGCTGGTCGGGATATATGGTCTTTTGATCTTGAAGATGCATCTGTCCAAGATTCATAAAATTCCATGAGGTTTTTACAAACACAATGTAAGATCCCTATTTCTGGCCTCTTGAACTTTGGTAGCAAGCTTGACAAAAATGGATTACAATAAACAAACCTTTCATTTCTTATTAGTTTCATCTTTACTTGTTCATTTGCTTTGTTTATTCTTTTAATTGAATATACTCAAAGAAACTACCAGATAGGGGCCTCCAGATATGGGCTGTACAGTTGGACAAGTCAAACAATTATTTGGTCAGAGAGACAAATACTGGTATCTCACCAGTCAATTTGATTGTGCAGCACAACCAGTCATTTTTTAGGGGCTGGAAGATAAAAGACTTTAATTATATCATTTAATCTAACATCTTTAGTTATATTCTAATGTGTTTATCCTGTATGGACTTTGATGTTTAATGCAGATCTTTGATAACCTCTGTTAAATTCAATCACAACTTTATCTACACTAGGGTTCATTAACAGCTTGACAGTTGATATTATATAAATAACACTTACCTGAGGTGGTGATAGAGCAGATTTTTACCCCAAAAAGCCAAGGTTGGCAATGTTTTTTTCGAGGGGTAACAATCTGCTCTATCACCCTCTCAGCTATGTGTTATTTAATTTATTATACTGAAGGTTCTGTCATTACGTCTTTAAAATTGTAAAATGAAAGTAATTAACTATGATGTCATGTTCATAACAATGTTACATTATTTGAAAAACAACAAAAGTGAAGCAAGATGGGGTTTTTTTTTGTATTCAGTCTATGAAAAAGGTCTGAAGCCGAACAGTAGAACCTGAGGATTGTTTTTAAAATTATTGATGAACATTCAATTCTTTGTCCTTTAAGGTAGCTGGGGTGTCTATATCTTCTACGATAGATTTTTCTTAAAATTCTGTAAAAGACTTCTGGATCACTGTTCTTTCAAATTTCTATTTAAAAACTGGGGGTCACGGACCTGGTTTTTTCGTTAAAATACATTGAAATTCATGAAATCACAGTTATTCAATATAGGTTATATACAGGAAACGTTTTCCTTGTTGAAGAAACATTAAACGATAGAATTGGTTAAAATTCAATGAGAGAATTGCTTTTCATAAATACTTACAAAATATCAAATAAAAATAGGGGTCAGGGGCCTTATTTTCTTGCAAAATCCAAAAACACAAATTGTCATATCAAATTCAATGTAATTATCTGCCCTTGATTTTAAAAGGATTTTTTTTCTGAAAATGTTAAAGACACTTAACGCCACTTAATTTTTTGATAGTTTATTCTTTAAATTTCAAGTTTAGAAGTTTCTGTTGTTTATTGAATGATACTTGGTAAAATATTTTTAAACCAAAAAGTATTTTTGTAATGTGCCCATAAGCATGATAAGGGATGCTCAGAAAAAGACACCCAATAAACCTTAAATTATCAATTTTTGATTGGTCTGCACGAGAGACTAATAAATAATTAAAAAGTTGTCACCCACTTAGCCATATGAAAGAGTAAATTTATCTTGCACATGACTCTATTCATAGCTATTAAACAAAATAACTTACACATTAAAAAATTGCCAGAGTATAGGGTTTTGAATTCTGGAAACTTTGACAATATCAGCTATGGGGAACTTCATTGATTCATGGAACTTAAATACCACATCTACATATTCTGGAGATTCGGGTTCCAAGGCAACTAAATCATGTGTCTGTAAATATAAAAACAAAAACAATCAATAAATGCCATTCCAGTGTAAACACACTGTAATTTCATCATGGTGCTAACAATATGTTCTATAACTGAAATAAAAAGATTTTGTTAAATTTTTTGCCTGTTGCAATAAAGTATATATTGTTGTTTAAATTTCATATTCAAAAATTTTTTGCCAATGGAATGTGCAGATCTAAAGTATAAATAAAATTTCTCAATTTCACACTATATATGTCATATTCTACCTGTCATACATGCATGCAGGATTTGTACTTCCTTTATCAATTAATGTACACCAAGGGTAACTAAGACATACATTTATGTCTACCTTAACTTTCATATAGCAGAGGACATCTGATGATTCATTTGACTAATCAGAATGTTTAACTGTGCAGGTGTTTCTAGTTCAATTAGGAAATATCAGATAAATGGGTTGGGAGAATACCACATTTTGAGCATCATAAAGAACTTAAGTTTCCCAAACAGACATCAAAACTATCTACCCCTTGCATACAATTCATTGTGGTCTGTACAAAATGATAAATTATTACAGACTAATTAATAAATTTTAACAGTTACTACCATAACATTGCGCAATTGGATGCCATCTCAAACATGATTACCCCACATCTTCTTTCATTAATAATACCCACAGCATTTTATTTTGAGGTATGATGTCAATAAGAGCAAAGAGTAGGAGGATAAAAACAGGCCACCATTTCAGGGATTCAGAACTTTTGGGTGAAGTAAAGACCCAACAGAGGGACTTCCGGGAGAATTGAGGTTATTAATGGGAGTTTTTGCATGACAACTTATATAATAAGGTGTTATTAATACATTGATCAAATTTTACTGCATCTCAAAGGCTTTTTCAAAACAAAGTCTATTTAGATTTGCCTACAACTATGCTTAAAAACATTAAATAAAGCAAGAACATAGGACAAGCCTCACATCTCCAACATCAAGTTGTTATGCAGTAAGAATCAGTACAAAGAGGGATAACTCCATTTGTTCAATTTAACTTGTCTCTGTTTTCCTGTCTCATCTGGCAAATTTTATTTACATGTAGATACAGAATAAATACTGTGTTAAAATTCAAAAATGTTCTTTTGTCATGATCCAGAAAAAAAGAATTTCTAAATCAAATTTTTTAAAGCGTAATTAGATCTATACATGTAATAACAAAATTAAATGGCAACTGGGATTTCCCCATATTTTCCTGAAAAAATAACAGGAAGTTGTATTAAATCAAAAGTAAATTAACAAATTTGAACATGTACTTATTGATAATGTTTGCAAGATTACTTCTTTTATTAATAAACTTAAAAAAAAAATCCAGTTTGAAGGTACAGTCATGCATTTTAATTAATAGAATAGATTGCAGTTAAATAAATGTGTCATTTAGCCAGAGTTTTATGTAATAACATGTTTTTCATGGCATATTGGAATCATGTGCATTCTGATAAAAATTTATAAAAATCGAGGTCAACAAACTTCTTTTTGATGCTTTAATTTATTAGAGGAAAGTCAGGAATCCTAGGACGATAATCTCACTCACTTTGCCTTGTGTGGTGAGCCCTGCCATTTATATTGCCTTATGAAATTACCAATGGTTAACACAATAATGAGTAAGTTATCAAAGATCTCTGATAAGAGCTCATATAGAGATTTTACAAGTTCATCTAATTCTGCCCCAAAAGCATGTTACCCCATCACTCTTGTATTCCTTGTTTTCCCGATTAATTGTAAATCTAATTATAAAGAATGATACATGTCTTTGTCTTTTCTCGTTAAAATGATACCTTTTTTCTGTCCATTATAGTCCAGTTTTCAGGTAGATCTTTATTTCTCTCCAATTTATTGTCAGCTGTACAGCCTGTGGCCCTATTTTCTGGTACAGATGGTACTTCCTGTGAGTTAATATTATGTCCACTGTCCTCTGATGATGAAGCATTCTTAAGTATCATATTAGCAATATAGTCTATATAATCATCATCAAGTTTTGTCTCTAATATATCTACAACCATCTTTGGTAAAGACTGATTCAATTCACCTGAAAAAGAGAACATGCCACAATTTGCATTCATTAACAATAGGTATAAGAAGATGTGGTATGAGTGCCAATGAGACAACCCTCCATCCAAGTCAAAATTTATAAAAGTAAACCATTATAGGTCAAAGTACGGTCTTCAACACAGAGCCTTGGCTCACACCAAACAGCAAGCTATAAAGGGCCCCAAAAATTACCAGTGTAAAACCATTCAAACAGGAAAACCAATGGTCTAATCTATATAAAAAACGAGAAACTAGAAACACTTATGAACCACATCAACAAACGACAACTACTGACTGACTTAGGACAGGTGCAAACAATTGCATGTTTATTAAATGCTTAAAGGACTCATAAAATATCCTACTTAAAGGAAATTAACATTCAATTATAAATAATTCATTTCAATCCCCAAAGTTCTTCTTTTTTTTTTTTTTTTTAGAAATAAGCTTCTTTATGAGAACACAGTTTTTCAGAAATTTTTTAAATGAATCATTTTATGTCTTTATTTTATAGATTAAAAATGGTAATCATGGTAATGTAGGCTATATTTGGTTGGCTGGTGGGAACATCTGATATGACTTTAACACAAGATAGTATTTCAGATGATTGCAATCAATTTTGATTTTTAAAACTGTTTTATTGGTTAAAGAAGATTTAAAAAAAAAATATTGTCTTTATAAATGCTTTTAGATTAATTCTATGCATATCAGTATCCACTTATTTAATACAAACAATCTGACTGGATGCATGAAGAAGCTATTCTAACCAACCCCTGCAACAATTATAACTTACTGGAGTACATGATACATAAAGTACACTGGTGCTCAATTAATAATCATGATAATGTTTATCCCCAAACTCATTTTTGTCGATTTCATAAGAAAAGTATCTGACAATGTAATATTTTAAAGATGAAAACATCTATGCAAACTGAAAGATGCACAGTTTTTTTTTCTCATTTTGTTTTATAATAATATATCATATCTTTCAACATTATTCAGAAAGATACATGTAGGATCGTGGTGCTTTAAATCATTATAAATGAAATGACTTTATATGTTTGTGTAGTATTATCAGTTTATGTGTAGCAAATGCCTTTTTTCATGTGTGAATGCACTAGCAGTGTCTCCTTTTTTATAAATAATTCCCTCTTTTTCCAAATCCTAGCTGCAAGGCTGATGATGCAAAATAAGGAAAAAGTAACTTCTGAATATTTTATTCATAATTTGTGAATTTATGTTATACTCAAAACAAAAGTACCTTAGGCCGTACTGTTGCCTGTAAATGCTTAAATCCACTTCATTTGAACTTTGGTTGATAGTTGTCTAATTGGCAATCATACCACATCTCCTAATTTTTATCTTACATGTAATTCATTTTTTTGTATATATGTATAACAAAACAGCCATCAAATTAAATATTTAACAATGTTAATACATTCCATGGTCATGATAGTCAAGTCATTACATTTAGCAATGACACCCTTTTTTCCAACTGATCTTCTTGTAGATGTACATGTACACTGATCTACATGTCCATTTGGCAGTTATGTAATGATTCAAATTGTGTGGAGTAATACAGCAAATCTTTGGATTTTGTAATGGGCCTGTATTATGAGGGTAGGAATGCCCTTTACAGTCAGTCGTAAAACAGTCATTTTCAGCGTTAGCGTCAAATTGGTTAAAATTTTACCATGATTCGCCAAAATATCCTTCTTGTGATTTGTCAGAGGTCTGAAATAATTATGGTTACCATTATTTTTGGAAAAAATTTAGCATGATTCGTCAAAATCAGTTGATCTTTTTTATCGTCTAAAAGAAAGTGTACATTTTATTGTCATGCACCAAAAATTACCGTCAACGTCATTTGGCAAGAATTTTTACCGTTATTCGTCATGAAGGTACCTTTATTACTACACTCTATTACAAACAAGTTGTTATCAGCATGATCAGAGTAACTAATGTCAATGAGGCATGAGGGTCCGAAATTTTCCAGCGAACTCTTTAGTCTTAAAGAGGTTTAGTGCAATTTACAGAAAAACATGTGTATAGATATTTTCATTCTATGCAATTTTATAATCTTGACCTCCTGTGAGTCAATTGGAGAACTGTGATGAGAATACATACCAATTGGAAAGTAACTGTTACAGCCAGGTTTCAGACAATGTAAAGTTTCCTGAAAAATCATTAAAAGGAGTTAATTATTAAGAAATCCTTACATCATACATGTCATATGCAAAGTACAATTTATTTCCAATAGTTAGCTGATAGTGCCCAACATGAAGCATGATCTTTTAAATGATTACAATAATAAATATTCATGTGTATATATATATATATAAATATTTGTTGCACATTGTACCATGTGTACAACTAGTATACTATAGTTTCATCAGAACTTATCTTAAGCATGGACCATTTGTAAGTGATGTATTTTTTTTTTAAGAATATCATTTATGTTTTGAAACCTACATGACATAAAATCACGTTGTATTAAATCATTTCATATAAATTGGTATAGAGGTCATGTAGGTCATGTAGGTGGAAGGAATTCCTACTTCTTTCTTCCTACTGACCTTGAATCCCAAACCTAATTTACAATATCATGAATATATACCAGATACACACACCATACACACATGCTACATGTACATTTAAAAACATCATAATATCATGTTTATATTTTCAAATTTTTTTTATTTTGATTGTACATTTTCACTCTCATATTTAATCTTTGTTCTAATTATAATCATGGTGATGACTTACAAGAAATACATCTGTTTATTTAGTCTACTTTCACTTTCTAAATATACATGAAACATACCTACATGTACATGATGTACATGTACATCAGTGTTCTCCCTAGGGCCTTTTAGCATCATGGTAATGTGATGCTATCTGAATTGGTTTTCTTATAGATTACATTTGTATGTTATGGATGTGATGCTATAGTTTTTAGAAACAAGATGGTACATGTATTTTAAATTTCCCTGTTTACCAGGAAGCTAAATGAAATATCTGGGGAGAACACTGGTACATGATGTACAATAAAAAAATGTAGTACTGAAAACCACGAGAATAAAAAGATGTTTCTCTAAGTCTTGATCATGTTTATATCCCATTATTTATAATAATATATATATGTCATAGATCTAAAATCATGTTAAATAATAAAACAAGGGACTCATTCTGGAACTAATACATGATTAGAACATTTCATATAAATGTTCAATGGTCTTTGGTTTAAATAAAAATGTCCTATTCATGAATTGTGTTTTGTATATAAACACTACTGAGATAACATATATGATATATGGTCACACTTATACATGTTCAAAGTATGTAAAAACATATTGAATAATCATGATAATGCAGAGTAGCATTTATCCTTATTTATCTATATTTGTTTTAAGTTACCTACTTTTGCTTTTCCTGTCAATACAACCTTGACCTTTTCTTCCAGACATGTGGTACAAGAAGGATGGCCTTGAAGACAACGTGACAGTTTAAGACCGAGCAGAGACATCTGACACTGACTGCATTTCTCACTTCCCCAGGATGATGATTGTGTCTCTTCACTACTCTGGTGATAAAGATATCTTGTTTGTTTCTTTGGAGGCAGTATTTTATCATCAGATTTTGATTTGAGATTTTGTTCAGATAATGTCCGTTTGATTCCGACAGCTGGAGGTGATGACTTTAATTCTTGGTCCGCAGATGATGTAGTTTTACACAATTTTGAATGTGATGACAAAGAATTGTTTGAACTATTAAGAAAATCAAGATCCTGAAGTAATTCATCACAAATATCAGTCACTGTTTTGTTGGGTGAGGATGAAAACGATGGATTACAAGAAACGGAATTTGTCCCTGATGTTGAAAGATTTGATTGAGTTGCATGGTCTGACGTGTTACACATTCCTTGTTGACTTTGCATTTTATCATGTGAATCTTTCATAGTCAATGTTTGCTGATAATGCACACTATTGCATATTGTTTGTTGGGTCATAGATTGTGTTGATTGAATGCAAGCATTATTTTGATGCTGAGTTTGTTGTGGGCCTGCACTGTTCATAGAACCATATACTGACTGAGTGCAGTCTTGTTTGATCTGGTAATTTGACATTGAATCTATTGGTTGTAATGTTTGGTCATAAGATTTTAAAATTCTTATCTGACTAGGCTGTTTTTTTCTTCCCTGTGTAGAATTTCCAGTAGATAAAATATCCGATATATTGAAAGACTGTGGTTTAGGGCAACAGTTTGATGGTTGCGATTGGTCAGAATTATATAGTCTCGGCATTGACAGTATATTTCCACCATTGTCTGGTCCTTTTACAGTGAATGGGTCATTGCTACAATCATCTTCGTCATCATCACCATCGTCGTCATCGTAATCCTCTTCAGAGGATCCTTCTTCTGAACTGTCAGTAATGTCATCATATTTTGCTTTCGATGATAAATCCAGTGGAGCTTGGTCAATGGTTGGCATTGAAGAATTTCTGTTTGAACATTGTGTCTGATCAACTGAAGGTGGTGTTGGATTGTCAGTTAAACGTAAGGTCAAATCTAAATTTGATGAAATACTCAGGCTGCGATTAAAATTTGTGTCACATGGTTTACTTTCGGACTTAATATTCTCTGCAGAGGGTTTCTCTTCTTCCTTTACATGAATTGTTTCTGAGACAAATATAATGTCTAGGTCTTCATTTCTCTCTTCACGCAGAATCTCAACATCACTATCATCATCTACAAAATTGACAAAAATAATACATAATTATCAAGATAGTAAAATAATGGTTTGACTAGCTCTAAATATCTAACTTATAAGTTCTATAATTTAACAATTCCATTTGGATTCATGTTCATGAAGTTTAATTGTCATTCTCTGCTACCATGGATATTTTTTTTCAATCTAAAGCAAAATGGCCACTTTTTCTTTTGCATAATCCCATTCCTGATGGGATGTCACATCTCTCTAAAGGTACATGTAGTTATCATGGTTATAGATCCATTTTGACACATTATTTCCTCGAAAAAATTCTCAATATTGTTACCATATTTCCTGAACGGTAAAAGTGAAAATCGTCAATATCGAACATGACCTCCATTTTGTCCTTAGTATGATCAACATATTAAAATTTGAAAAGCATTGGTTGAACGGTTGCCAGACCACCCACCATACTTCAACAAATTAAATCCAGTTAACAAAATAATTGTCTGCAAAGTGACAGTATCATATATTTGACAAAATGGATCTTAAATTTCTGATTAAACATATAAAAGGAAATGCATTTATTCATTTGGAATTCTGAAAGTCCAATATATCCTCTTATTTATCAATTCTTTCTCTTGATAAGGGATTCTTTGGTCAGACAATTCAGAAAATAGTTTTGGTCTCAGTATCCCAAAAGGGATTAATGACACATTGTCCTGGAACATGAATCATCAATTTTAAATACAGGTGTTGTATAACTGGAGATATAAAGGTAGTCTAACTGGTTGATTTAGGGAAGATCTTCTTTGACTTATTCAGTAAGACTGCTGCCAGTTCGAATCCTGCTAGTATCATTCATTTATTTTAACAATATTGTTGCTGTGAGCATCTACTTCTGGTACATACGAGTGTCTTTAAATGAATGGCATTTAATTGGATAGATCATGAGGTATGACCAGGTCAGAAGGGATGACCCTGATATGTCTAGGTGATATACAAGGAACTCAGAGGTTGTCCAGTAGTGGACCTGTGAGCTGCTCATATGGATGGTAGTCAAACTGGTTGATTTAGGGTAGATCTTCTTTGGCTCAGTTAGATCCCAAGTTTGAGGGTTTGAATCCCCCTGGTATACATGCACATGTATACCATCCATGTATTTTCACAATACAGGTAACAAAAATCTGTGAAATACTGCCATCAATTGTCATTGATTAAATCTTAATTTATTACAACCAAAACTTTATCCTTACTAATTAATGAACAGCTGATGAAATCAGTTAAAAAATTATCAATATCAGCTGATTACTTGTTCCCTTCTTTTTGGGCAAATTGCACAATGGTTGAAAGGGTATCAGTGAACTGGTAACTGTTTTATGCGTGTTGTTTATTCCTTGGGTATGTCTAAAACTAATGAGTGGAAAAACTGATTGAAGTTCAAGACTCAAATGCTGTGCGTCATTCACCCTAATTGATCAGTTATTGTTTATTTTCATTTCCTCGCACGAGTTGACATCAAGAGATAAATCGCAAAAATGACCATCCCTTCACCACTCTTATTTTGAAACTTACTTGTTCAAAACTTGATTTTTACTTACTGTCTGAATCAATTAATATAGGGGCGTCTATTGAGGAAGTCATAGTGTTCCCCTATGTAATAAAACCCCAAATATTTTGGATTTTTTCTTCCGAGAAAATTCAATCATTTTACAGGAAGTTAGTGATGTCACGTGATACCTATGACATACTTGGCGGTCGTTACAAATACCCAAAATTCGTCAGTTTTCATAAATTTGTATACGATGTTTCGACAATATGGCAATGGGAATACATTAAATTTGAGACCTCTATAACCATGCATTATAGTAGTCTCAGATTCCATGACATTTTGGTCCAGTTTCAAAGTAAAATCTTACTAAGTCTATCCAAGGATTTATAAAGTACTACTGACACTACTACTATACAAATCCTTGGTTTTGCAAAGAATTCCGCTCAATCCGGTGCTAGGGGCCGTCTTAAACTTGCAGTGGGGTGAGAGTTTTTTGCTCCGTGTTGAAGGCCTCACTGTGACTTTGAGATAAAGAACAGCGATAAAAGCGCTGTTCCTTTGCTTTTTGTATGTTTTTTTTTTGCTGTGCATGTACTGATTTTGTGTCGTGGATCTGGGAACAGTATATCTATATATATGATCCTGCGTGGATGGATACCCCATATCATTTGTTTTTTTACTACATACATACTAAACTTTGCGATGTATATTAACTGGGATAATTACACCTTATATAAGAATGCCGGATTTTGATTGGATGGTAGCCAGTTTATTTTTCGAATATTCAGGCTAACCTTTTTTCCTCATTTCAAACGAATTTGCCTGTTTTTCACAACTGCCGGTGAATATGCCTCAAATTCCCCTCCGTGCCGTGGTATTTTATGATTTGCCATTTTGGATATTCCTTTTTTATCCTCGCGAGCCTCTTCCCGCCAAAATTATTTGGAATCTTCCTCACCTTAATTATCCCGATTATTAAGGCAACACAAGTAAGCAATATCGTCATCGTATATTGAAGAATGCGTTGTGTATATAAAGAGGAAAAAGACGTCTATACAAATGAACGATGACAAATACAGATAGCGTTAACGCGTACAAGTGCATGTATAATTCCCGCGGTACTATGATAGTCTCCACTCATCATCAAAATTATGCATGGACATATTTATGGGTTACAGCTTACTAGTAAAAAGAAAAGATTTCCCTTCACCTGTACAGAGAGTTTCAATCAAAATCTATTCGGTGTAATTAAACAGATATATCATGTTATGGAGGGGTATTTGCGAAAAATACCAGTCTTGGGACCAAATTTCCCTCGACTAGCGGCTTGGGAAACTTCACAGTCCCTTGACTGGTATTTTTCGCAAATACCCCTCCATAACATGAATTATCTGTTCACTATTATACTGTTAGTATAATAGTCCCAGGTATTAATATGTCTCTGCTAAGATAAGATAAGATAAGAAAATTTTAGCATATATATATAAAAACTACAACACAAGCTCGAGAGAGCTTTGACCGAATATTAAAAACATATAACATAAAACAATAATAACAACATACATTACATAATCAAAATTTGGCATTATGGTGTGAAAGGCTTGGTTTAACATGTTTAAAGGGGCAGTAGCTTAGAGATATAAAGAATAAAAAAAATATGATTTTCTTTTGTTTTGTTTGATCATTAATGAAAGTGAAATAGCGAAATAATAATTCGCTTTTAACAGCCAGTTTGGTTCAATAGTGTGTCAAAATAAGCCACGCCCAGTAAGCAGAGAAAACTAACACATATGTGATCGTTACAAAGGCACATTTGAGGGGGTGGACAAAGGTAATCTTCTCCAACCTCCCGCCCCCTATCTCCTACCTCCCACTTTTAGAATCTTTTTTTCTCTTCCACCTATTTTTTGTCTCCCACCTCCCGGCCCCCCTTTCTCCCACCTTCCGCCCCCACCTCCCTCAAAAGCTGTCCACCCCCTCACATTTAATAATGATTGTGAGGCGGGAAACAATAAAGGGAAATAACCCATCAATAATCATACATGACATACATGTACATGACCATTGGAGTAAGGGAGATACTACAAATTAATACATGTAATAATTAATACAATACACTGGCGTAATTATCAGTAAATGAAATACAGAAAGAATTAAAATGTCAATTGTTCTTGAACAATTGAGAGGTCTTTCCTTTTCATAATGTAAAATATATGTTTCAATAGTCGTAGAATGCATTGAAAAGCTCTTTAACACACTTACAACTCTTAAAATATGACAAAAAACACAAAATTCGCTATCTGGGACATGACCTTGACCTTTGACCTTGTGACCTTTGTCAAGGTCATTGGTCCCAAATGTCATTGCTGAATAACCCCATGGGTCTAGGACCTTTGGTTATATAGTAAAAGCTGATTTTGTCTTTTCAGAAACCTAAATCAGGGGTTATGCCCCTTACAGAAAGGTCAAATCTCTTCGGTCAAAATGTAACAAAGTTGCGCCTTATTGACCCAAACATTTTCCACTATTCAAAACTTCTGTAAGTATAATGGTTTCTGAGATTATCCCATAACAAGGTGTAAGGTCAAAGGTCAAGGTCAACATACAAATTTGACCTTGAGGCATTTTTTAAAGTTACATGAATTGATGATCATTTGTGAAGATCCTAGGTGTCTACGACTTACGGTTTTTGAGTTTTGGTGGCCAACCGACACCGGTTAATTTTCATAGGGGCATAACCCTACCAATGAGTCGTTGAATCTTTTCGATCCAAATCTAACGAAGAACCGGGGTCTGATCCTGAATAAATTTCACCCTTCAGTTTTTTTCTACCTATTACGGTTACGGTGTTTGAATGATAACAAGGTTTTTTGGTTTCGGAGGGATTACTCCGAACCGACAAAATTTTTTGACTCACAGGGTTAGTTCCGGATAGGTATTTATGACACCGATACAAAGTGTGACCCTGAAAGCGACATGGCTTACGGTTACGGAGGGAAATTTTGTCAAAGTTTGGCGGAACAAAAAGAATAATAATAATAATCAGAAGAAATACAGTAAGGTCTTTCCCTTTTGGAAAAGGAAAGACCTTAAATATGACTTATCTTAACAACCTACTAACGAGTGAGCATTAAATTTAATATGAGACAATGAAATCTTTAAACCGCGCTGGCGTTTTCAATTCAGAGCGCTTACGGAGAATGCGTTTGTTATCTTGTTCATTGCTTGACTTGTAGACTATTTGTAATGTCACGTTATTGACTATAATCAGATAGCCCAGTCGGCTCGTCGAGACTTTCAACATCGTCGATATTTTCGCAAATAAGAATAGGCGGGGGCTCCGCGCGAACTGGTGGGAGGTCAGGGATAGGCTCAGGTAGGCTCTCTTCATCACGATCATCACAATCGGACTCCTGATCGCATTCGTTCTGAGAGTATTGTCACCGGGGAACTGGGTGACTTGTAGGGTTGTGTAACAAGAACCTGACTAAATGGCCTCTTGTTACTGAAACTGTGTGATGCACTTGATCACACAACGAACGATTGCTGTGAATAGCAATGAGAACTTTGGCACTGAAACTCTGGTGAAAACTAACTGTTGAGACTCTGGAACTAGCGATGAATAAACCAATAATTCAGCATGGAATACTAATACTTTTATTACAGATGGACTGTGTTCAGTGTAAAGTCCTGAGTCCAAATCTTGCTTATCAAAATTATAAACAAGTATTTATACACAATTGAATTGACAAGTATAGACATAACAAATAACAATTAATTTGAGTAATATTGTTCACTGACAAGGATTAAACTATTTTTAGAACTTGAAGAATAAAGTTAAATTACTAATCTGATTATGATATTTAAAAATATATAATAATGAAAAAGGTATAATGTCACTAATTAGCTAATAGAATAAAACATGTCACTCAATGTCCAAACTGAGAATTAAATTGCATATCAAAGCATGTTGATTTTAAGTCCTGGATATTAAATGTAAATAGAAACGAAAATATAAAATTAAATGAATTTTAAAACACATAGAAATAAAGTCTAAATTATCAAAATTGAGAATTTTATATTAAAGTCCAAAATATTAAACTGAAGCCGCATTTTCCCTGGTCACAGTATCTCGGATTTTGGTGGACATTTATGATCATTTATGGTGTTTAAAACTTGAAAACATTCCGAAAGTTTTACTTTGTAGGAAGAGGCGCGGAGTTGATAGCCTAAATGTTTTTGATGAAACACCATTCGCCATCAAGCGCTACTACAAGGTACCGATCTCTCGATTGGGTCTTTGACCTGTCGGTATATAGGTAAATCAAATCCCCTATAGAAACTCGTGTTGTGCGCGAATAAGGTTCATGTCAGAAATTAGCAACTGTTCATGAGTAAACTGATTTCTTTGTGTCCATAGCTCGCGGAGGACAATCCACGCCGGCGAAGCCTTGAATTAAGTCTCGTGGTAGCAATAACTAGTGTATTTTCAGATAGAGGAGACTGATCGCGTTATTCACGAAGTAACTCAACTTCAAGTTCATCGATAGCTTGATTGGCAACTGGATTTTTGTTCTGATTTTTGACGCGACCAATTTCAATTGATATGTTGAGCTGCTTTAAATAGGAATCGTCACATAAGGGGCCTGGTCAACTCGAACGACAACACTGGGACCGATTAAAGGCTTTAAAGGTATCAATAAGTGTATTAGCCCATCACGCAAGGTACTCAGTTTTTCGTCTTGGATAAAGCAGTGTACGACGTTACAGTTTCTCTGACGACCAGGATGAGTGCCGGTTGCGCTTAAGAACGTCGGCCACGTCATATGTGCCAACCATGTCCGGTCTGTCTTCTGAAGACTGTTCGACGAGGCTCTTAGGGAACCGTTTTAAAGACGCGCATGTGTGATAGGAGTCACTAGCCTGTTCGACCGCCTTTGGCATATCTAAAACGTAAAAGTGTCGTTTTAAGACGAGGTTTAATTGGTGTTTTGACAGATGGTCCAACTTAATATGTAGAGCGGTGACGAGTCCGTCAAGAACGCTACGTGGAACAATGATCAATTAGTTGGGTGGAGCAAGGGGATCACAACGCCGAACAACTAGCAAACCGTCTTTGACAATTGATGCAACATTCAGTAACGTTTGACGTCTTTGATGTTTGTCAGTTTTTGGA